TACACGTAACTTTACCTGATGTCTATGTCCAGATACACGTAACATTACCTGATGTCCAGATACACGTAACTTTACCTGAAGTCTATGTCCAGATACACGTAACATTACCTGATGTCCAGTTACACAAAACATTACCTGATGTGTATGTCCAGATACACGTAACTTTACCTGATGTCTATGACCCAGCCAGGTGAAGCGATAATCTCCCAGGCGCACGTGACGTTGTTTGGGTACCCATACGGATAACCTGGTGACCTGATGACGCCACTGGTTGCGTTGAGCAGACCCCCACAATCTGAAGATGATGGGGGGGGGGGGGTGTGAGTTAAATTCAACCAATTAACACTATTGGTCGATGTTATCATTCAACATTTATTCTTAATAAATACTTAGAAAACGAACTTTTATTTAATAGTGCACAAAAAGGAGAAAATAAATAATTTTCTTTAAATATAAAAAATACACTACCATTAAAATAACTATAAAGAAAAGAGTGAGTCACTATAATATCTATTGGATACCTTTCCTAGTGTTTAGAAAGAATTTCGAATTTTTAAATTTCGAAAAAAAACCTAATCTTAGCCTTAAAAATTTTCAAAATGAAACTGGTTTCAATCTTAAATTTACCTGATTGTTGACTTGGTCCAAAATTTAAAATCAAACAAAATAGAAAAATTTCAAAAATACGTCTGAGCTTAGCCTTAAACATCTCAAAACCGAATTGGTAGATTTGTTTCTTGTGTCATTTAACACGTTGTGTAACCCGCATGTGGATAAATGTCGTACAAGATTTAGCTTTCACCTCGACAGGATAAAGTGAGTTGAAGTTTCGCATTTTATTTAAGTTGACTAGCTGGTCAACGATAGAAGTGACACCTTTTCAATGCGTGCGGTTATAAATATTGTAATACTTCTGATTTTCTTTTCTCTCACTCCAACGGTTCTCAAGTAGAACTTAAAGACACTCAGTGATGGTAGAATTGTGGGATCAGTGTTTCTTCCAGACTTTTTTCTCCGGGGGTGCACTTGACATTTTCGGGGGGGGGGGGGGGGGGCGGTCAACATTTTCCGCGGGGACGAACACTGAAAAAGTATATATTTTCTATACAAATTCCATTTCGTTCGGGGGGGGGGGGGGGCGGTAGACTTTCTTCGGGGGCCCGACCCCCCCCCCCCCCCCACACCCCAACGGAAAGATGTCTGGAAGAAACTCTGGGAGAATTCTAAACCTCGCACGTATTCTCGAGTAGAGAAAACGTTACTCCAGAGAAAACGTCGATTACAATTAATCAGATCACATGACCTAGCATGGTGTTGCTAATAATAATCTGCTGTGACCATACGACTATACTTATGTTACTCATATTTTACGGGGAGTACGTGCTATAATGCCAACCTGACCATGCCTCACACATACACTGAACATACAAATAGAAAGTTAGTTCCCAAATTTTACACCGAAATATTATGCCACCCTTACCATACTGGTGCTGCAAACATAGATCTACACACAAAAAGATAGTTTGTTCACAAACTTTCTAAATTAATATTATGCCAACCTGAACATACTAGTCCCTCACACCTACACTTAACAAAAAATAAGAAGTTTATGCACACATTTTACAAACTCTTCTAGTCTATCTATTCTGCAATCAGAGTATTCTGGGTGCTGCTGGCACTGTACTGAGAATCCCTGCGTCTTAGCAGACTTGATTACACAATCAGCATCATCTATTACCGTCGGTACCCAAGGCACATGGGGTCGTCAGCTTATATAATAACTTAATGAAAACACTTTCTTGTTCTCTTGTCTGAAAAAAAAAGATTGGCATATTTACACTGCAATCTTTTCTTCATTCTGAGGGCAAAACACTTGTAGTTCCATAGATTTTGCAAACTTGAGCAAACAATATTTCAAAAGGTACCGGTAGACCGGGAGATTTCTGCTAGTTGGTAACCAAATATAAGATAGAATCCCCGGTAACAATAAATAAATAAATGGCTCCATAGTCTGATAGTTCGTAGTATGATTTTCAGTCTTAGAAATCAGTGCGCTTAGCCTGGGCAGCAAGATGAGAAGTGTCTGATGAAGCAATAGATTGCATAAACTAAATAGTTTGTATGCACCTAACTGCACCTAACGTTACCTGTTTTAGATTTAAGCATATATATATATATATATATATATATATATATATATATATATATATATATATATATTGGTGTGTTCGTGTGTGTATGTCTGTCTGTGTACATACATTTCGCATAAGCATTGGTTGCTCCTAAAAGTAAATGATTTCATGACCGACCAATTATTTTACAAAAGTAATCGAAAGTTGTTTTTTTCATTGCATTTAATTAAAGCATTTTATAATTTTGTTCAAAGGTGTTTTCTTTTTTTTTATATTTTTGTCCTTGTATTGCTTTAAAAGTGTAAAAACTGATATAAGTTAAATGTATCTACATACATAATATATAGGCTTATAGCAGTTCCACAATTTTCTAAAAATGGGGCTGAGAAAACGTTCTTACATGGAGATTAATTTGTTGATAACTATAGCTGATTGCTACTAGTCTATACATGTTATATGTAAATATTGTGCTTTACAAGTGAATAGCCATTTGCCTGGGCTAGTGTACGTGACGTGGACAGACGGTCCAGTTGACATGACCAGACCAGAAACTTCCCCGCAGTATTTCCCGATGAGACGGGAAGAATCTGTTTTCCCGTCGTAGATGTTGATAGAATCAGTGGCGCATCGTGGAGAGTACATCACATTGAAGTCTCGGAAACTGGCGTCAAGGAGACGATAGGGAAATGTTGGTATGATCAAGTGGTAATAGGCACGTATTTTTTTAAATATAGATTTTGCAGGTAACATTAAAAATACGCTGTTAGCACGCTGTGGATTTTTATCATTTTAGAAAGATGTAAAAATGATAAATAGACAAAATAACCCTTCCTTTTCCTGCTCTAACCGTCCATTGACAAAACGCCTTTAGTTTATAGGATGCTGGGTAGCTGGGGTTGGTGATGTAGCCTGACTCGTATGTAGAGCTCATGTTGCAGGCTGTGTAGACAAAGTTATGCACACATTTTAGATACAGCAGGACATTGAGAAGTCAAAGATCGAATTTGTATTATTAAATAAATTGGTCACCTAATAGTTAAAGCTTTGGTCGAGTTTTGACGGGGCAATCAAGAGTAGAAAATATTGCGAAGAGATAAGTATCCATTTGGATTGGTGTAAAACAGAGGATTGTGATCGATTGTCTAAGAATTTCATTAGATTTAGTGGAATGCAGATGTTCTATCTGATTAGATTTTTGTGGGATGCAGGTGTTCTATCTGATTAGATTTTTGTGGGATGCAGGTGTTCTATCTGATTAGACTTTGTGGGATGCAGGTGTTCTATCTGATTAGACTTGGTGGGATGCAGGTGTTCTATCTGATTAGACTTGGTGGGATGCAGGTGTTCTATCTGATTAGACTTTGTGGGATGCAGGTGTTCTATCTGATTAGACTTGGTGGGATGCAGGTGTTCTATCTGATTAGACTTGGTAGGATGCAGGTGTTCTATCTGATTAGACTTGGTGGGATGCAGGTGTTCTATCTGATTAGACTTTGTGGGATGCAGGTGTTCTATCTGATTAGACTTTGTGGGATGCAGGTGTTCTATCTGATTAGACTTGGTGGGATGCAGGTGTTCTATCTGATTAGACTTTGTGGGATGCAGGTGTTCTATCTGATTAGACTTTGTGGGATGCAGGTGTTCTATCTGATTAGACTTTGTGGGATGCAGGTGTTCTATCTGATTAGACTTGGTGGGATGCAGGTGTTCTATCTTATTAGACTTGGTGGGATGCAGGTTTTCTATCTGATTTGACTTGGATGCAGGTGTTCTATCTGATTAGATTTTTGTGGGATGCAGGTGTTCTATCTTATTAGACTTGGTGGGATGCAGGTGTTCTATCTTATTAGACTTGGTGGGATGCATGTTTTCTATCTGATTAGACTTGGATGTGCAGGTGTTCTATCTGATTAGATTTTTGTGGGATGCAGGTGTTCTATCTGATTAGACTTGGATGCAGGTGTTCTATCTGATTAGATTTTTGTGGGATGCAGGTGTTCTATCTGATTAGACTTGGTGGGATGCAGGTGTTCTATCTGATTAGATTTTTGTGGGATGCAGGTGTTCTATCTGATTAGATTTTTGTGGGATGCAGGTGTTCTATCTGATTAAACTTGGTGGGATGCAGGTGTTCTATCTGATTAGACTTGGTTGGATGCAGGTGTTCTATCTGATTAGACTTGGTGGGATGCAGGTGTTCTATCTGATTAGACTTTGTGGGATGCAGGTGTTCTATCTGATTAGACTAGGTGGGATGCAGGTGTTCTATCTGATTAGACTTGGTGGGATGCAGGTGTTCTATCTGATTAGATTTTTGTGGGATGCAGGTGTTCTATCTGATTAGATTTTTGTGGGATGCAGGTGTTCTATCTGATTAGACTTGGTGGGATGCAGGTGTTATATCTGATTATATAATTCCTTAGGATATAAAATAAAATAAAAAATTTGACAGAAGGCAGAGAATTAGATCTTTTACTAACATGTGAAATTTCATTTATCTATCTGAAAAAATACGCAAGTTATAGGCTTTTGAAAAATTCAAAGTAGAAAAAAATTTCCTTCCGTTTATCGGAAATCGCTCACAAGTTGATACGGATCTACGATTTTGATATAATACTTATATATGAAATTTCATCAACCTAGCTATAACGGTACTCAAGTTATTGTGTTTACACACACACACACACACACACACACATACACACGGACAAGATTGCAAAACTATGTTTTTCCGACTCAGGGAGGTGTAAAACGTCGAGATTTGCAAAAATCTCGATTTTTTTTTTTTTTTTTGCACGATTACAAGACTTTCTCTATACTTTGTATATACGAGAAAATAAAAAAATAACAAGATGGAAAATTTCAAATTAACTTTTATTCAAATGATATGTTTACTTTGTCTGAAGTGTACTTATGTTTAGGCCGTTAAAGACAACAGATGTGGGTGAAGATTATGTGAAATATCAACAGTAATTATCTATAAGTTGTATTGCAGTACATGCAAGTGCAGTTATTAAAGTTGCTAATAAACAATACATACGCTCTTGCAGCAGTTATTCATGTCACATCAATACTACCTGTATCAAAAGCTTTCAACATCCAGTTTCTTATACACTCACGACGTTGATGATCCACGTTTTCATTCAAATCAATACCATATGACAGGTTTGGTGTTAATACCACACTAGATATCATTCGGCTGATTTGGACTAGGTAAACAAAATGTATAGGCCTACTATTTGGCTAAAATTTGGTAAAAAATGTATATACTATTTGGCTAATTTACTGTTGGTAAACAAAATGTGTACTATTTGGGTAATTTACGGTTGGTAAACAAAATGTATACTATTTGGCTAATTTACTGTTGGTAAACAAAATGTATACTATTTGGGTAATTTACGGTTGGTAAACAAAATGTATACTATTTGGGTAATTTACGGTTGGTAAACAAAATGTATACTATCTGGTTAATTTACGGTTGGTAAACAAAATGTATACTATTTGGTTATTTTACTGTAGGAAGCAAAAGTAATGCGATGTGGTTAAATTGTCTAAATCACAAAATTCCTTGTTTGCGGCTGATTTATTGTTGAAACTTGTGTTTGCGAGGAATTTTTTTTTGTCAGAGTGAGATGTGTGTGTTTCTATTCTATAAAACTTCATCAACACTTCCATGGCGTGAAGTACTTGAGACGAGAGATTTTTGTTTGAGTGAGATATTGTGTGTGTTTCTATTCTATAGAACTTCATCAACACTTCCATGGCGTGAAGTACTTGAGACGAGAGATCGGCGTTGGTGACGCCATCCACTCTACGTGCTGACTCAACGACAGGAACCAGATGTCCGGCATCCTCGCCAGTTCTTTGAGGAACTCCACCAGGCCTTCAAAACTTTGGCTGTTGCTGGTGAACCAGGTGTAGTGGATGAATATCTGCATGGGCGACCTGCTTTGGTAGCGATCTTTGAAGTTGGTGCGCAGGTACTCCAGTACTGCGCTTGTTGATTTGGGTAGTCGACAGCCGTCTGGCATCCAAGGCTCGATTATCTTGTTTCCCTGCACACACTTGTACATTGACAATGGTATCTGTAGGGGTCGAATAATTCAATGAGTTAATGACAAATTGAGAAAATTACGTTAATAGAAATATTCACAGCGGATGGAACTAATTTCAACACAAATGACTGCGACTGAAGAAATTTACTTCAACTGAATTGATGATGGAAGTTGAGGAAAGTGACGTCAACAGAATTGATGGTAGGAACGGAATAAATAAAGTCAATAGAATTGATGGTAGGAGCGGAATAAATAAAGTCAACAGAATTGATGGTAGGAGCGGGATAAATAAAGTCAATAGAATTGATGGTTGGAAAGGAATAAATAAAGTCAACAGAATTGATGGTAGGAACGGAATAAATAAAATCAACAAAATTGATGGTAGGAACGGAATAAATAAAGTCAGCAGAATTGATGGTAGGAACGGAATAAATAAAGTCAACAGAATTGGTAGCAGGAACGGAATTAATAAAGTTAACAGAATTGATGACTAACTCTAAAAGATCACCTAGATGTAGTATCGAATTAACCATTAATTATTTTACATGAATGAAAGAAAACAATTCTACTATACTCAACACAACAGAGACAATCTGAACAACCAGTCGCCTCCCTGTACATTGTAATCACCAAGATAAATTCATAATCAAGAAACATAGAATGATCAGAAAAAAAAAACATTTAAAAATCCTTTTTATCAAACGTTTTAGTTGCATAACTCTTTAGATTGTATTCACTATTTACTGGGTTAAATATGTTCTGTAGCGGACAGTATTTTATTGTTTGTAACGTTTTGAAAGTACTAGTTATGATTGTAGAGAAGGGTTGATATAGGGGATAATGGGGGTGTAAATAAGAGGTAAGGGGTGTCTATGGGGGTAAGAAGGTGAATATAAGAGGCAAGGGGGTGTATATAAGAGGTTAGGGGTTGTATATAAGGGTAAGGGGTGTATATGTGAGAGGTGTGTTACCTGGATACAAGTACGATTGCCGTAACAGCACGTCGTTATTTTTATTACCTCCCATATTCCTGGATAGCGTCCCCTGGGAAAGACCTGACCACTGTACTCCGACACAGAAGTGAAGTCAAGCGTGAAAGGCCACTGGTGACCCTCGCCATTTTTCATCACATAACTGGAGTCGTAGATTAGTCCCAGCTTCTGTTGATACATTTTTTTTTACAAATAAGTTTTTAAAAAAACGTCAATAGTAATGTAAACTAACGCTGTGGCGATATAATCATATATTGGTTTAGATGTTACGCTAGTGTGTAAATCAGTCAATTTACGATTATGGTACGAATAGCGAATAGGGGAATCAAAAACTGTCAGACTAAACATGGTCAATACATAAATATCATTTGGGGAATCATGAATGACAACAATTTAAATGAAAAACTTAGTTCCCTTATTGTGGGTTTCAAGATCAACTGTTTTCTTTCACTTTAGGACTTGTCATTAACTTATTGGATCACAGATTGAGTGAACCCCATGACCTCCCCAACCACTCACTCCATGACCTCCCTCACCCCCCATGACCGCCCTCTCACCCCATGACCACCCACTCACCCCATGACCACCCCTGCCCCCATGTCTTTCCCCTCACCTCCAACCCTCCCCCATGATTTCCCCCCTCACCCCCATCACCTCCACTCACCCCATGAACCAAACCTTCACCCCATGACCTCCCCACCCCCATGACTTCCCCCCCATGACTTCCCCCTCACCCCATGACCAACCCTCCCCCATGACTTCCCCCACACCCCCATGACCCCCCTCACCACCAACCCCTCCCCCATGACTTCCCCCTCACCTCCATAACCCCCATCTGTGTGTCGCCTCCAGCCTGTAGGTACGGGACCCTCATACCGCGGAGATCCGACTCTGGAATTCCAGCTTCGTTCATCAAATTTTTCTTCTGATTTCCAAACTCGTTGATGTAATCTTCAGCAGTCGCCTTCCTTGACCACCAGAGCTGATCGGGGTTGTGGGTCACTGAGTGCACTCCGATCTCATGACCTGCGGACATTCGAATTGGACCATCACTTTTTGATAACGTGCAGTCTAGCTACACAAAACGTGTGTTGGATTCAATCACATAAAACTAGAAAGAAAAATTTATCTCATTAAAATGCTTCCCACAAAGCGGGAGCCGGACGTTTTCTCTAAAGACATTTGCCCGAATGCCGTTTGCCCGAAGGCCGATTTCCCGAATGGACACTTGCCCGAATGCGACAAATACCCGAATGGACACTTGCCCGAATGCGACAAATGCCCGAATGGACACTTGCCCGAATGCGACAAATGCCCGAATGGACACTTGCCCGAATGCGACAAGTGCCCGAAAGACACATAGAAATGACACGCTCATCACAACACGACATTCGATTATAATATCAAGTTCCCATTTCGGACCTGGTGATTCTTATGGCAGATGAAGTAGAACTTAGTTATTACCTGACATAGGCATATGAGATATTTCTTCCCTAACGTGATTCAGGTACCCATTACAACTGGGTGGACTCAGAGACTTAGTGTAGACTCGTCCGAGATCCGAACTCGAAGCTTTCGTCTAAGCAGCAGAAAGGCCTAGCACCTTACCACGTCTTCCCAATTAGAATAGTACAAATTTCTAATCTAATTGATCAATTCAAATTTACAATAGTACAAATTTCTAATCTAATTGATCAATTCAAATTTACAATAGTACAAATTTCTAATCTAATTGATCAATTCAAATTTACAATAGTACAAATTTCTAATCTAATTGATCAATTCAAATTTACAATAGTACAAATTTCTAATCTAATTGATCAATTCAAATTTACAATAGTACAAACTTGTAATCGAATTGATCAATTCAAATGTGAACATGTTTGATACACGTCTCACTTGTAATACATATAAAAACCTGATGAAGTTTACCTCACCTAAAAACCTGATAAAGATTACCTCACCTATAAATTTGGCGAAGATTATCTCACCTAATTGATGAAGATTACCTCACCTAAAACCTGATGAAGATTATCTCACCTAATTGATGAAGATTACCTCACCTATAAACCTGGCGAAGATTATCTCACCTAATTGATAAAGATTACCTCACCTAATTGATGTAGGAGCCTCACGTGGGTGTAATTAGTATCTAGGCCGCACACGAAAAACGTCATCTTCATAGGACAGTTGTTGGCACTACGGATGCCGATGTTGGTGAGAGTCTTGAAGTAGTGGATGTTGTGGTCACCCACTGAGTCGTCAAAGGTCAGCAGCACCATCATAGGGACCTGGTCCAAGGGGAAGTTACCCGGGTGTTGGTTGGACTGGCAGCGGCAAGATGGCGGCTGGCAGGTGCTGGAGTTACAGCCCGTGATCTGCGATTTGTTACTGATTGTGGCGTCTGGGGATAAGTTTCGGTGTTAAGGTTAGGTGATTGTAATGTCTGAGAATACGTTTCAATATAGTACAAGTAAATTGTAGTGTCTGATAATTAGTTTTAATATAGTATAAGTTAAATGTAGTGTCTAAAGATTGGTTTCAGTGTAAAGTTAGGTAATTGTAGTTTCTGAGAATTTGTTTCTGTGTATAGTTAAGTGATTGTTGGACCTGAAGCATACGTACAATTCAGTGTAAGATAATTGTAATTTCTAAAAATTAGACTTTAAACTATTATTAATCGGTGTGGCGGTAGAAAAATAAACGAAGTCATTTATCCACAGCAACCTCAGAAAAATACTTAGCATTTTCTCACAATAATGAAGAACTATGTCAGCAAGCCAACAATACATAGAAAGACTAAATCCTCTAGTGTGGCAGATCAGCCAGTCAGAAACCCTATATATCAAGAAAGTCTTTCAACCAGAATCTCCTGCCATTAAGGTAAAGAGGCCGGCAAAGAAATGACTGGCCACGTTATTTTGAAGATCACGCAAGTCAAAGGGGTCACCAGATGGGTCATTATCGGGTACAGAAGAAGGATAGGTCACTTTTGAGGACACAAAAAGTTTGGGTCACTTTTGGGGACACAAAAAGTGTGGGTCACCATTTAGCTCAGGTTCAAGCTAACTGTAAAACTCATGATTGAGGTCTAAGGTCGCCAGGCTAACTTTTATCATTAGTTCATTCTTCGACAATTGGATTCAGACTATATTAGCTGCAGGGGTATATACTAGGTTCAATTGATTGGTTCATTGTAGTGTATGGACGTCTCCTTAAAATATATATAGATTTTTGTAGTAACATTAGAAGTACAATAAAACGAACACCGACTACTAAACACAGCATAATTATCTTTTTACTTGTATGCAACCATACAAAATATTAGAGATTGATATAAATTTGCAAAAATGATCAGAAGACAATATGTATCTTCGTGTGGTTATTAAATATTAACATTGTTTTACTCGCTGCTCCCTAATTTAAGAGGGGAAATTCTGAAAGAACTTACTTGTCTCGTGTTTATGTAGAGACCCAATCTCAAGTGTCTGGTAAAACTGGATTATCGCCCCTGTAACCAGGAAAACAGTCACAGTCAACCACAACCGTGAGTATTGTTGTAGGGCCATGGCTTGGTGGCTTCAATGTGTGGTGTGTGGGTCTACTTCTTCTGGTCGATATCAACACTTGTACACAATAATTGTAAGTGGTTTTCTTGTTCTAGCCAATATCAGAACTTCTGTCACAACTTGTACACAACAATTGTAGGTGGTTTGCTTGTTCTAGCCAATATCAGAACTTATGTCACAACTTGTACACAATAATTGTAGGTGGTTTTCTTGTTGTAGCCAATATCAGAACTTATGTCACAACTTGTACACAATAATTGTAGGTGGTTTTCTTGTTGTAGCCAATATCAGAACTTATGTCACAACTTGTACACAATAATTGTAGGTGGTTTTCTTGTTCTAGCCAATATCAGAATGTGTATCACTATTGTAAGAGTAAGTAGTAAATAATAGCATCAACAGTACCGCAGAAATTCCAACTTTCTTAAATGACTAGATAAATGGCCCGTTGAGGAAGGGTACAACGGGCGCTAGGCTGATAGTGCTGTCTCTTTTCTCTAAACTAAAACCAACCCACCCCCCACACACCACCCCCACCCCACCCCCCCACCCCCACACACCACCCCCACCACACACCACCCCCACCCCAACCCCTCACCCCCACACACCACCCCCTCCACACACCGCCCCCCCACCCCCCACCCCCCCCAAAAAAAAACATGTCTACCGTCCCATTCAACGAAATATAATTATATACTTTTTCCAGTGTCCGCCCCCTCCCAGAATATTCTACCCCCGCCCCCGAAAATTTCTAAATGGCCCGTTGAGGAAGGGTACAACGGGCGCTAGGCTGATAGTGCTGTCTCTTTTCTCTAAACTAAAACCAACCCACCCCCCACACACCACCCCCACCCCACCCCCCACCCCCACACACCACCCCCACCCCCCACCACACACCACCCCCACCCCAACCCCTCACCCCCACACACCACCCCCTCCACACACCGCCCCCCCCACCCCCCACCCCCCCAAAAAAAACATGTCTACCGTCCCATTCAACGAAATATAATTATATACTTTTTCCAGTGTCCGCCCCCTCCCAGAATATTCTACCCCCGCCCCCGAAAATTTCAAGTACCCCCACCCCTCTCCGGGGAGGAAAAAGTCTGAAAGAAACACTGAAACCAACCCACCCCCCACACACCACCCCCCACCCCTACACACCACCCCCCCCCCCACCCCTCCACCCCTCCCCCCCCCCCCAACCCCCCCCCAAAAAAAAAACATGTCTACCTTCCCATTGCAAGAAAACCACTTTTTAGATTAGACACATTAATTAGGCTGTAATTTTATTATAGAGTATCGATGAGGAAATTTCTTTTGAGTTGGGGAGGGGGGGGGGGGCTCAGACGTTCTTACGCGGGGGGTGGGGCTTCGCCCCTACCCGAAGAATTGTATGCAAGAAACTCTTCACGCAAACCATTTAGATTAGACAACATTTCCTTTTTTTCAATGTTTACGCGATAATCAATGACGTCATATTACTGTGTGCACTCTCTGGTTAGAGATTATGTTCTACTCTACGCTAAATGTGTCGACGTCATATTTCGTTTTTCGAATTACTGTGCATGTTTTTAAATTGCTTGTGTTTTCTCTAGAGCGTTCTTGTCAGACAGAGCGTTCTTGTCAGATAGACAGACAGACAGCGAAACTATTAGTATTAATGCATCCATTAATTCTCATTCTCTATCCAACATGATTCTATCTCTTGTGGTGATCAAGTTTGAATATCCAGTAATTTCACCAATGTCTGATTTAACGACACACTAATACGTATGCTACGAAATACAAGTAAAAAGAAACTGTAATAATTCGTGTCCATTTATTTCTCCAACTATTCTCAACAAAGATTGTTAAAATAAGTATAAAATACATTTTAAAATACTTTTACACATCATCATAACATCACGCCGTATATTATACAAAAAAGATAATCTATCCCTATCCCAAATAGCTATATAATTTAGCCACCAGATGGGGAGGGATAGGGCGGGGGGGGGGACTATTAATTACCAATTGGCTCAAAAATGAATGGGTTTTTTTTTCAATTTAAAAATTGCATTTCCTTTTAATTAAAAAAAAATCTTCAGAAAAATTAATTTCATTTTTTAGATAATTATGAAAGAAAATTGCACTCGCATTGCAAAAAATGGGCTACAAAAACAATCTGCAAAAACAAAAATTTTAAAAGCGACCTTAAATTATATGGTTAGAATGGAGGCACAAAACTTTCTATAACTTTAGTCCACAAGTTCGCCAAACATGAACAAAAATACAGTTCAACTATAAAAAATAAGGTATTATACTGCATAAACAAACATCAATATTGCGCTTTATATTTGTCTGTATGGTAAGAGAGATGTGCTTTACCTTATTGAAACACATCAAACTACCCCTTAAGCTAAACGCGTATCTATTGAGTTTATCTTTTCAAAACACATTTCATTTACACGTTTATTTTTCTAACAATGAGCCGAGTTGAATTTTAAAATAGTTTTAAATTCTATTTGGCATAAACTCATCCGAATGCTTTATCAGCTAGTAAGGAAACATTTCTCACATCCCATCTAGTGAACACTAATCATTGTAGATCTAGTTAGGAATACAACCTAACCTAATGCTGGTAGTTGTTTGTATCTCTGTGGTAGTTTTCGTTCCTCATAATTATTTTTAAGCACCCAAAGTTCAAAATTTTCACAGCATTGAAAAAAAGCAAGTGAAAATGACTTTGATGTGTTGCATTAAAATACACCATGTGTATGTCAAAGTATTGACTTGCCAAAAATCGATGAGTAGAAAAGATAAAACTTTATGAGTGTTTTTATTGGCATGTTCTTTGAAATACAATACCTTTAAAGAAGCCTTAAAAATTGTAAAGTTTGATATTAAAGCCACAAAGGATACTAACTTCAGCTATCAAATTGTCATATGTGGACCATATGTCTGGGGTCACACGTTTTTATGTTACTCACATGTAACTCATATATAGGCTGCATAAGCTATATGTGTATATATATATATATATATATATATATATATATATATATATATATATATATATATATATATATATATATAAGCCCATGTGCGCACTTCTCTCTCTCTCTCTCTCTCTCTCTCTCTCTCTCTCTCTCTGTCCACAAATTATTTTCACTGGCTATGATATCAGTATCTTCAGCGATATATGACGAAATTGATATGGACTTTTGTTGAAAATAATAGTTTGGATGTTTTAAATGTAGAAACTAAATTTTATTTAATAAAGGAAAATAAAAATAAAAGCATATTCGAATGGAGAAATACACTTTTAATTATCCAACCAGAAAAGTGTTTATGGTTGTGACAAGAACGCAATAAACAACAACGTCACATGCCACATGTTTTAATCTGCGGAAAGTACACAAAGCTAATGGCGTCATCTTCCGATTTTAGAATATGAAGAATTAAACTATTTCATTCAAATATGGTTTAGATCTATAGATCTATGAAATATATACAATTTTCTCGGCCAAAAGTAATACAAATTACTTTAAAAAACAACAAAAATACCATTGAACAGCCGGGTTTTTAAAGGAATCATTTACTTCTCTTAATCAGTGTGTACATTTAATATGGTGTTAAGTTGACTAATAATGTATATGATTTGGTTTTCTATTAGGTATTGGTAGTCTATGTTATTTTAAATGTGTCGGATTTTTAGCTATTTAGTTATTTCTTTGTCACTAATATCGTTCAACGTGTAGTAAGGCACATAGCATTTTGACCACTAACTATTTAATACAATATTTTTCAATCAAGTTTAACTTTAGAAATATATATAGATCTATAATTTACGTGTAACGGGTACATAATAGTCCACATGACAATTAGATAATGAACCACTTGACCCAGTTTGTTAATTGTATCATCCGACAATTCCTTCATCCAAAAAATGTAGTGAACATACTCAATTAATCCGTTGCCCCTAGTTAGTGTACAAGATAGGAATAGGGATTGGGATAGGGAAAGGAAATTCTAAGGATAGGGATAGGGATGGACTTAGAGATAGTGACATGGATAGGGTTAAAGTTAGGATTAGGGTTAATGTTAGAAATACAACTAAGGGTATGGAAAGGAATTTTTATTGATCCACCGCAGGTTGTCCATTATACGGCAGGTTGTCAATTACACCGCAGATTGTCCATTATACCGCAGGTTGTCCATTACACCACAGGTTGTCAGTTATACCGCAGGTTGTCTATTATACGGCAGGTTGTCCATAATACCACAGGTTGTCTATTATACCGTTGCCTGTCCACTATTGCATGACTAACACCGCCGTAGATAACAAGCATCCAACGGCATTCAGAAATCGATAACTGTGTCCAGCCCCCCCCCCCCCCGCCGAGCCCTCCCAGAACCCTCGGCTCGTGTTGTCTCTCGCGTGAGCAGCTCACTCCGTGCCCAGCTGTGGCGTGCTGCCCGCCATAACCACGGCCATGGTGAGCGTTCGATTCTGTTCTTTTGATCGTTAGGCGAGTACACGCCGTTGGCAGTGTGTCGCCCTCTAGGCTGTTTCTGTCACATAGGCTGGATGAGTACACAGGGTGCCTACAGAACCTGGGATAAGTACACAGGGTACCTACAGTGCCTGGGATAAGTACACAGGGTACCTACAGTGCCTGGGATAAGTACACAGAGTACCTACAGAGCCTGGGATAAGTACACAGGGTACCTACAGTGCCTGGGATAAGTACACAGGGTACCTACAGATTAGCAACAGGCTGAAACGCCTTAAACGATGTTTTGTCTTGATAGCTTTCAGTAAACCTACCAGCATTTTTATTCAGTAAGTTACAGTTCATTTATATTTAGATCTAGTTCATTAATAATATTTTAAATGCTTGTATAAATAGGCCTGTATAATAGGTCTAATATATAAATAGTATATTATTTATTTTAACGTTGATGTTTTAAGATACTAGTTTAGATATTGTAGTATAAACATACGAAGTATTATGTTATTGCTGACTTGCGGGGTATATGTATTATCATATGGAGGTAGTATGTTTTTTAACATATGTTGCTAGTATGTTATTGTTGAACTCCAAGTCCAGCAGTCACATAACAGCTAAATCTTAACTTAATCTTTATTGTTTTCATTGGAGTATGTTGCAGGCTAGAGCTTGTGTTGTTGTGTTTTTACAGTGTTGTGGTGCAGTTTTGTGTGGTGATGTGGTATACAGTTATAATTGGATTCGTGGTGTATATTTGTGTAGTATGTTGTTGTATACAGTTGTATGTGGTGATGTGGTATACAGTTATAATTGGATTCGTGGTGTATATTTGTGTAGTATGTTGTTGTATACAGTTGTATGTGGTGATGTGGTATACAGTTATAATTGGATTCGTGGTGTATATTTGTGTAGTATGTTGTTGTATACAGTTGTATGTGGTGATGTGGTATAGCTGTGTGTATTGTTGTATTATGCCGTTGTATGTGGTGTTGTGGTTTACAGTGGTGTGTGGTGTTTTGGTACAAAGTTGTGTAATGCGTTGTGGTATACAGTTGTATGTGGTAATGTGGTATACAGTTGTATGTTGTGTTGTGGTTTACAGTGGTGTGTGGTGATGTGGTATACGGTTGTGTAATATGTTGTGGTATACAGTTGTATGTGGTGATGTGGTATACAGTTCTATGTTGTGTTGTGGTTTACAGTGGGAAGTGGTGTTTTGGTACACAGTTGTATGTGGTTATGTGGTATAGTTATGGTCCACAGTTGTTGTAGTGTCAACGACCACCAACGGGCCCATCAACTACCGCCTACAGATCCCTGTATTAACTACCGCTTATGTATACATGTAATATGTATGTATGTCAGTAATCTAGTGACCTTTCACCCCCAGAGTGCCGGCCTGTGATCTTTGCTGGCCAGATAAATATGCACGATCCCGCGTTAATTGCTGGGCCAATTATTCATCTGCTGAACTAGAGTGAGTAAGGTTCAGTCTGTGGCTAAGATGGCGGTGTGGTATATTGTCTTGATGCTGGTGTGGCTGTGTTACACCCGTCTAACTAATGGTGAGTACTTTCTTCTCTTTCTCCCCATACACACACTAACCACACATCTTTCCTGTACTTCCTGTTTAAGCTTTATTTACACTTCGACTTTATTGACACTATGGCTTTATTTACATTTTTCAACGTAAGCCAGCGACCACTGGTTTACAAAATCCGATTACGTAATTTCCTACGTTGCCTGTTTTTTAATCGCATAAATGCCTGTGTTATTTCTCAGCTTACTTTCATTTCGACAACCCCCCCCCTCACACCTACTGTATAATGGCTTATATCAAGCTGTGTGTGTTTACATTTGTGTTTTGTGAATATATATGTTTCTACGTATGTGTTATAGACCTGCAGTTAAAAATGTGTCCTTTTATTGACTTGTTTTAAAACGTATGTGTATTTTACTTTTACAAAAGTAATTTGATGCTCCTAATTCATTATAAGGGGGGGGGGGGGGGGTTAAACATGAATCATTGTTTATTACAAATCTTTTGCCAACAGCTGTTGTTATGCCATGCTATAGTTACGTTTGTGAACGAATGGGCTTAGCACAGATTAGCGACTTAATCCCTTTAATCACGGTTTACCAATCAAAAGAATAAGCTAATCGTTCAATTTAAATTCAATTAACAAAAACAAAAGGTATTGGTATATTTCTTATAAGTGAAACTTAAATGTTTATGGTTTGAACTTCCTTTTGTCCGTTATAGTGTACATCGGGAGCAACAATATAACACATGCATTGTCAATCATATGGCATCGTTTAAATCTAAGAAAAATAAATCCGATGTTTCAACCCAAGGTCTTCATAAGCAGGAGACGGCGTGGTCAAATAGTAGAGCATACTATAGCTAACCTGATAGTCTCGAGTTCGAATCCAGGTTGAAGTCAGCAGAGCGTTGTCTGAATCCACCCAGCATTGATGGGTACCAGGCTCACGTTAGGGACAGTCACAGAAAGATGTGAATTATTCTTCACCTGCTTAATGGAATGTCAGGTTCGAAAAGGAACTTCACCTCTACCTTCATCAGCACATAACGTTCTCTCTGTTCTATGTGGCGAGGCTGTTCCGACTATGTGGCGATGGTGTTCTGACTATATGGCGAGGGTGTTCCGACTATTTGGCAATGGTGTTCTGACTATATGGCGATGGTGTTCTGACTATATGGCGAGGGTGTTCTGACTATATGGCGAGGGTGTTCTGACTATGTGACGATGGTGTTCTGAATATGTGGCGATGGTGTTCTGACTATATGGCGATGGTGTTCTGACTATGTGGTGATGGTGTTCTGATTATGTGACGATGGTGTTCTGACTATATGGCGAGGGTGTTCTGACTATGTGGTGATGGTGTTTTGACTAAGCGGTGATGGTGTTCTGAGTTTGTGACGATGGGGTTCTGAGTAGTGGCGAGGGTGTTCTGAGTATGTGGTGATGGTGACGAGGGTGTTCTGACTAGCCTTAACCCGCTTATAGCTTGGACCATGTATACCGCCCCTTCACGCCTTGGTATATCTCAACAATACAGTTATTGACCCGGCCATGTCAAGCTCCACGTTCTAGACTTGTCAGAGAACTTGACAATTTCTTTTCGGCCCTCGGCTGTACAGAGTTTAATAATTGATTGGAGACTGGAGAGTTTTCTGCTAGTCTATGGCGTTTGTTGGTCCGCTGATCACCAGTATTTCTTCCAGTCTTTTTTCTCCGGGGGGGGGGGGGGGGGGGGGCACTTGAACTGTTCGGGGGTGGGGGTGGGTGGTCGGACAATGGTAAAAGTAAATATTTTCATTTTCTATATAAATTCCATTTCAGTCGGGGGGGGGGGGGGGGTAGACTTTCTTCGCGGAGGGAGGGGGGGGGAGATACCTAGAAGAAACTCTGTTGATCTCGTGGTATAAACACAACATGGACAGCTGAGTTCAGACGATCGACATGGTGGAAGTGGTGATTTGGTAAAGTAAGTGACGGTTCGTTGATTCTACCAGAGACGCCGACTGCTGTTTTGGGATCGTTCTAGTTGTCAATTTTAGGTGTAACGGGCTGTTTTGGGATAGTTCTAGTTGTTGATTTTAGGTGTAGTGTGCTGTTTTGGGATAGTTCTAGTTGTCTATTTTAGTGTGACGTGCTGTTTTGGTATCGTTCTATCGTTGGTATCGTTTTGCTGCAGTAACAATTATAATTCCTTCTTAAATTGACAAACCTTTCTTCTCTATACCCGATTGTAGTATGTTTCAATGATATTTGTTATATAAAAACAAGTACCTTTTCGAACCTGACGGTCCATTGGGCAGGTGAGATAGAGTATACCTGTTTCAGTGACCTCGGCATTTGAATGTAAAGCGTGGTCAGAACTGTACCTAGCAATCTTTACTTTCCCTAACGAGAGTCGGGTACCCATTAAAGCTGAGTGGACTCAGAGCCGTTCTATTGACATAAACCAGGGATTCCAACTCGAGACATTGAGATGTAATAATGATATGGTTTCAATACACTCTAATCAAGAAAACAGCACGTACTCATTTCCAGGCTCTAGGGTTTACTATGATGAATACGAGGCTATAGGGTTTAATAAGATGAATACGAGGCTATAAGGGTTACTGTGATGATTCAACACGAGGCTATAAGGTTTACTATATGCGCAAGTACGAGGCTCTAGGTTTACAACACCTAGATCAATACGAAAATCAAACTCAATGTCCACCTGCCGTATGGGCGATCGATGCTAGGTGAGAGGCGGTGGGGGAAAGGGGTGTGAGGGGGGGGGGATTGTCATAAGTTGGCAGACTGTAGTAACCATAGTGTGTATGTGTGGAGGGGGGTAGGTTGGCAGATCTCAAACTGTGGATCGTGTGACACAAAAGATTTGTTTTAAATTGTAGAAAAGTTTTCCAAAAAATGACGTAGGGATCATAATTAACACTGACTTAATTTACCAGGTATGATTAGTCCATTTGATGTTTCGGCGTACCTATCCACGTCGCAGCGAACGTGTGAAGTATTGCAATTGATTGGCTCCATAGATACAGGCTTACATGACTGGTCTGCTTAAAGAAATTAATATTGTAGGTCCTACAGCAGAACATGTTACTCTACAGTTGTATACGTTCTGACAGCCATCGACCAGTGTTAAACAGTTCCCAATACTTTCTCTAGACAGTGTCATTCTATTGGCAAAGAACCGATGTTATTCAATGTTAAGTAGACGGTATACGATTGTTAATACATTTCAGACACGTTTTTCTTTGTTCTAAATTCTTAATGAACTTTTTCTCCTTTTTCTTTATTCTACATCCCCAAAAATAGTGTTTCCTAAATTCAAGATGAAAGTTTTCTCGTAGTTGTGTTAATATTCCATACGAATTTTGTAGGGCTTTTAGTTATCCTAAAATTTTAATGCAGTTTTTCTCGTTTTTCATCGCCTAACTTCAAATGAATTTTGCTCCTTTTTTGTTTGTACCAAAATCCCAATGAATTTTTCTCTCTCTTTTTTTATCGTGTGAAATCGATATGAAGTTGAGCAGACATTGTAAGCAAATTGATTTAGCTGCTCGCCGCACCCCTCTAATTATTTAGATGCTGTCCTCACCCCCACCCACCCCCTGTTCAGCTGCTGTCCTCACCCCCATCCACCCCATGTTTAGCTGCTGTCCTCATCCCCACAAACCCCATGTTTAGCAGCTGTCCTCACCCCCACCCACCCCATGTTTTGCTGCCCCCCCCCCCCTTTAGGTGTCCGCCCACCTCCCACATCACACCGACTCACACACAACACGCAATGTTTGCCCGAGGTCAATCGACTCACACACAACACGCAATGTTTGCCCGAGGAGAAGGTCAATCGACTCACACACAACACGCAATGTTTGCCCGAGGAGAAGGTCAATCGACTCACACACAACACGCAATGTTTGCCCGAGGAGAAGGTCAATCGACTCACACACAACACGCAATGTTTGCCCGAGGTCAATCAACTCACACACAACACGCAATGTTTGCCCGAGGAGGAGGTCAATCGACTCACACACAACACGCAATGTTTGCCCGAGGAGGAGGTCAATCGACTCACATACAACACGCAATGTTTGCCCGAGGTCAATCGACTCACACACAACACGCAATGTTTGCCCGAGGTCAATCGACTCACACACAACACGCAATGTTTGCCCGAGATCAATCGACTCACACACAACACGCAATGTTTGCCCGAGGAGGAGGTCAATCGACTCACACACAACACGCATTGTTTGCCCGAGGTCAATCGACTCACACACAACACGCAATGTTTGCCCGAGGTCAATCGACTCACACACAACACGCAATGTTTGCCCGAGGAGAAGGTCAATCGACTCACACACAACACGCAATGTTTGCCCGAGGTCAATCAACTCACACACAACACGCAATGTTTGCCCGAGGTCAATCGACTCACACACAACACGCAATGTTTGCCCGAGGAGGAGGTCAATCGACTCACACACAACACGCAATGTTTGCCCGAAGAGGAGGTCAATCGACTCACACACAACACGCAATGTTTGCCCGAGGTCAATCGACTCACACACAACACGCAATGTTTGTCCGAGGTCAATCGACTCACACACAACACGCAATGTTTGCCCGAGGTCAATCGACTCACCGTCACGTGACACATAACACGAGGCAAGCTCGGTAATCACACCAGCACTCACTGTTCAATGGTAGCTAGCCGGTAACACTGCCCCACTCTGTTTACACTGCCCCACTCTGTCCACACTCCTGTCCACACTGCCCCACTCTGTCCACACTCCTGTCCACACTCCTGTCCACACTGCCCCACTCTGTCCACACTCCTGTCCACACTGCCCCACTCTGTCCACACTGCCCCACTGCTGTCCACACTCTTGTCCACACTGCCCCACTCTGTCCGCACTGCTGTCCACACTCCTGTCCACACTGCCCCACTCTGTCCACACTCCTGTCCACACTCCTGTCTACACTGCCCCACTCTGTCCACACTCCTGTCTACACTGCCCCACTCTGTCCACACTCCTGTCCACACTCCTGTCTACACTGCCCCACTCTGTTCAGGGTACATTAAACTCCTCGGGTTTTTAACAATTAACACACATCAAACACCTAACATTGTGACCATTAACACACATCAAACACCTATTATTATGACAATTAACACACATCAAACACACATCAAACACATAACAATGTGACAGATTGTGACACTTAACACACATCAAACACACATCAAACACCTAACATTGTGACAATTAACACACATCAAACACCTAGCATATGACAATTAATATACATCAAGCACCTGGCTTTTTGACAATAAAAGGGACGTTAACTGTAGCCTATCTATCACCCACTCGAAATATCTAGGCCTGTCTGTATTTTGTGAACAGAATTTATTTTTAAAAAAAAAGCTTGAGATTTATTCGGGTTCCGAACACGAGGCTTTCATACGTTTCATACTCCGCTATTTAGTCGTTTTATTCTCTACTTTTCAGTACTTCATAGTTAGTTTATTCGACACTACCCAATCCTAACCTCCGCCACCGCGAAAGCAACCGTCCGTGACGACAGTTTACGGACGACAATGAAAAGATCAAGCAGAACGTCTTACCTCTACTTAGTTTCAAATAGTTTAAAAGCTAAATTATCTGCCCCTAATAGCCGTTACTATTTCAACCCGGCTCTACGATGGTAAACATTCGGGGTGAACCTTAGCTCACCAGAATTGTGGGTGGGGTGGTGGCTATATGCCCAGAGAGTGGGGGAGTAACGGCGTGCGTTTACGTGGTGTCACGCATGGTCCCCATGAAGAGAATTATATATATATATAGATGTCACAATTTTGTAGAAAAACGTTTTGGATCTTTCCATCAGTTTTATATAGGTTTCTTTAATCGGCCATTTTTTTTTTGTAATTAGAGAACTAATGAGTGTCCCCTCGTCCACAGCGTCCACCTGCTCGTGGTCTAACGAAGGCTGCAACGATGACAGCGAGTGCTGTAGCAAGTCGTGCTTTCTGGCTCACGAGGGTACCAACGCTAGGTGTCGCCACAGTACCCTCGGGGAGAGATGTGTTTTCGATTACCATTGTCAGGTAAAGTACAATACAGGGGAGGGGGGAAGATATGTTCGATTACCATTGTCAGGTAGAGTACACTAGGGGGATGTGTTCGATTACCATTGTTAGGTAACAGAGCTCAGAGAGAGAGAAGGTGTGAGATGTGTTTTTTTATTACCGTTGGCAGGTATAGCAGCCTACTTTTAGGCGGTTGTGTAAAATATTGTAGTGTCATTAACGTATTGTATGTAAAATACGAAAACGTATTTTTCTATTTATAACAATACAATAGTAATAGGGCTGGTAAGTAGGTCACCAACCAGTTATACGGCTCAATAAAACTTACATGAGACATAGAGCTGGTTGGTGACCTACTTACCAGCCCTATTACTAAAACGAATAAAAATATATCTACATTGTTCAATACATGTCAATAAATGATAACAGGCCTTTTTAAATATTTTTCTTAAATTGTTGCTTATATTAATACTTATTAATGTACATTTTCATGTTCCTTCGCTATGATTTGTGTTGCGAATAACTGAAGCAATTAAATCAAACTCCAGAACAGTTTTCACACACTAACCTCAGTGCTCATATTTTAACTGACACAAATTTGTTTCCCCAGGATACGCTCGTGTGTGGCAGCCACTTCAACTGCTGCTCTCCCTTCTGGAAGATTTGTATCAAAGACTCAGACTGCTGCGAGCCGGTTCACGTCTGCCGAGCTGCCGTGGGCTATCTCTACAACCGGTGCCTGTTTGCACACTCCACCCCCGCGGTCTACAGAAACATTTACCACCATTTACCTCTGCTTCTTTCTTCTGCTTTAGTCAGCTGGATGCTTCTCAAGTACTGGCTACAACGAGACTGATACAAAACTTTAAACTTCCAGAATGATAAAATACACATTTTTACATGACGTAATATTCATTAATGATACATTAATTCAACTGACAATTGTATTGTAACTTCCATAAATCATAATGATAAAATACAATTATTACCCATATATTAATATTCATTAATTGATACATTAATAATTTTTATACCGATAATTATATCATTAAAATTAACTGCTTGATTTAAGTAACAAGGACTATAGTGATAGCTAACAATTTATAAACTATTGTTTTTAGTGCTGATTTGTTGACATTTTTTACTTGGTGAAGGCAAGTTAGCTAATACTCCCAAGCGTGAACATTATGGTTTAGGTCTTAATTTATCTACTACTTCATAAACAGTTGACACCAGAGTGATTTGAATATAAGTGATATTTTTTCTAAAACTCATATTTCAATTTGTGTTATTGAGTTATTGTTAAAGAAACAATTTACAATTTTTAAATATTTACATTTTAGAAAACAATGTCTATGCCTTCAAACAAAAAGTCGTTCTTATTGTGATTGAGAAAAAAAGATAGGTCTATTCATGGAGTGAAAATCAATGGTAAAATCATATGGCATAGGGTCATCTTGTACTGTCAATTCCATTTTCCATTCAAGCAAATGGACAAAAAGAAATTAAAATCATAATTTTTAATTGACAATGGAGCAAAGTGCTATTAAATTTGTATGTCTACATTTGTATGATGTCTAAACAATTATGTTGTTATGTGGGTAAAGTTGGTAAGCTTTGCCCAATCATAATTTTGTGTAGAAGATATATATAAATCAGATATGTAATTTTTATTTGAAGCTTTTCACTTTTTAAAGTGTTTTTAGTATACCACACAGTATTGATTATTATAGAATGATCTATATCCAGTTCAGTTGGTTTCGCTTTTTTTTTCCTTTTTGTTTATTTTTTAGAAATGACTATTTAATTTTAAAATATTAAATAGTGTGTATTTAGAAATTAGTGTTAAAACTGATAGAGAACATTATTTAGCTAAAACTGGATTTCCAAGCATATATAACATATATCACACCGTTTCATATATCACAATTATACAGAATGATATACACCATCCACTTTATATAACACAATATAAAAATGATATACCACCACACCACTTTATAAAACACAATATAACAGAATGATATACCACCTGCCCCACCTCTTTTGCATTTTATAATATGTGCAGATTAAAAAAATCAGATTTGCACAGTATATTTATGATTTACACATTTTTTATACTTTTCTATCTAATAATTAGACATCCTGGTTTAACTAGATTTGCTTGATAAGAAAACATGTTCTAGCTTTATTCCCACAAATTGAGCTTGATGAACTGAGATATCTTTTTCCAGCATTTTCTGCTTTAACAGATTTTAAGTTTTTTTTTAATACTCAGCTGATGTGTTTTATTTTTATTAAATGCAGCTAATATTCTCCCATTTCAATCTTTGTAAACTTTTAAAAATGTCTGCTAGTATTTTAGGATTTTTTATATTATTAATTACTTGTGCTTATCTGGCTAATGAAATAATTTAATTTAATATTGGAAGTGGTTTTATTTTGTGTTGGTTAATCCCTGCATTCAGAGGCGTAGCGAGGGGGGGGGCGGGGGGGGACATATGTCCCCGGGCGCCGACCTTAGGGGGGCGCCAAATTGAAAGTTTGAGGGGGGGGGGGTGCAAATGAAAAGTTCGAGGGGGGGGTGCAAATCGAAAGTTTGAGGGGGGGGTGCAAATGAAAAGTTCGAGGGGGGGGGGTGCAAATCGAAAGTTTGAGGGGGGGGGGGGTGCAAATGAAAAGTTCGAGGGGGGGGTGCAAATCGAAAATTTCCTCCCGAGGGGGGCGCCAAATTGAAAGTATGTCCCCGGGCGCCGGGAAGGGTCGCTACGCCTCTGCCTGCATTAAGCTCAACTGTGGCTTGATTGGCAGACAGTGGAAAAACTGAGTTAAATTCCACAACCTTATAATAAAGCTGTAAATAAAAATCTGATAAAACATGTGGTTATAACTAAAACTTCTATACTGTCTTTAATTATATAATTTACCTCAATCTGCTTTGTTTTTAAAATGAAACAAAATTGTGATTAAAATTGTTGTTTAAAAACATGCGTGTGAGTTTGTCATAACTGTTGTGATAACCATCTGTAACTATTATGTCATACCCAAGGTGAGATGGTACAAAAGTTATTAAATGTTAAAGTGCAGTTTAGTACATCTGCTTTATCTTTTTTTTAAAGGATTGTAATAAATTATTAAATTTTCAAAACAATTACTAGATTCTAGATTCTAAGTGTAGTCAAGATTGCTCAAATTTAATAAAAATTAGTGATTTAAGAAAAAACAATGAAAGTTAATTTTTTTAGAAAACTTCATTCTCATTTCTATTAGATTATTTACTTTACTGATGAATTGCTAACATTTTAAAATATTCAAATAAAAATTTCTTTAAAGAAATTTAGCCATAAATTAACAGATTGATTATTTAATTGCTGTGTTTATTTGTTTAAACTAATAGGATTAATATACTACTTATGTGTTTTACAAATGTATATTAAAAACAAGTGTAGATTAATTTAACATAATTTAGCATAATTTAAGCAGACAATGAAGGTGTTGCATCAGAAACAAGTTAACATTGCATTTATTTCAGGTCTATGTTTTTTTGTAAAGTTGTGATTCAAAATAAACTTGTTATTCCACAATTATTTTCAAATTCATTTTTGTTTCATAATTTTTTTTATTAAGGAGGCGGTTTGGGGGGGGGGGGGGGACACACCCATTGCAACTCTCAAAGAGTGACAAAGACAAACATTGTACTGATCAGAAAAAACATTAAAGGTAAAAAAAATTGGGGGGGGGGGGGGGGGGGTTGAAAAACTAAATATCAAATTATAAATTTTTAGCATAACAATTATTATAATAATGACTTTATTATAATATATCTGCCTATAAAGGAAAGAAGACCTGAAGGCTAAAAGCTTTTTTTTAACGAAGTGTCTACTCGGAATAAGATTTTTCGGCAAAAGATAGTTCTGCGCATGCGCAGTGACCTATGGCTAGGGTTAGGGCTAGAATGAGGGTTAGGGGTAGGATTAGGGATAGGGTTAGGGATAGGATTAGGGCTAGGGTAAGGGATAGGATTAGGGCTAGGGTTAGGGTTAGGGTTAGGGATAGGATTAGGGATAGGGTTAAGGATAGGATTAGGGTTGGTATTAGGGTTCTGCGGTTGTAAACACACGCATGCGCAGTACCATCGAAAACATCGCCGCTAAGTCGTAGTTTCTCTCCATTGCGCATGCGTATCGCATGCGTATCTTATTCCGACTAGAATCGGCCTTTTTTTAATGTGTAGAATAGTTTGAAATAGATTCTATGTTAATTTTCTATTTGGTATTACGTTTATTACGGACGGGGGAGCTTGTGACAACATATAGTTTTATATTATTCTTGTGTGGCCAAAATTAAGTTTCTTTTTACGCAAAAAGAGGGGAAACACCGTGTGCTTTTATTGTACAATAATTAATAATAATATGCGAAAGAAAAAAGCTAGCCTACTGCACAAATTCTTGTAAAACAGGTTAAAATTAATAGAGTAGTTCCCCTTTGAATATTCAAAGATGTTACGCTCAGATTTCAAGCGTTTTGATTTTGCGTTAATATTTACTTTTGTGTTTATTTTTGCTAAGGTGGACTCACTGCATAGTAATTGTGTATCGCCATCATGTAAGTTATACAAACTTTAATTTGGAATAAGCCTACATTTATTACATCTCTTTATAGATCTAGAGCTACACTAGCTGCTACTGAACTAACTAAATCTAGATCTAGATCTAGCTAGAGTGAAGTTCCACAACCGGTCACACATGACACATAGCGAACTCCCGACTTTCATCGACTTTCATCGGGCGCTATTTTGTAACCGTTTAACACAGAAACAAACCCAAAGTACTATATTATTCCTCTGCCTTTCTACTCTTAATATGTAATGTATCAATCATTTTATATTCCTACGCATTGAATTTGAGATATTCATGTTTTAATGACGTGCTACTTGCGATATTTTTTTCCCCTCTTTTTTTTTCCTGCGGCCATCTGAACCGGCTTGCGTAACGATCGTGTTTTATACGTTTTAATCCTAGTTTAATAAATAAAATAAATATTTTACACTTTTAAACGTGTTGTTGATTGTATTATTAATTAATAGATTTCAAAACCAAATTAAAAACATGTTAGGCCTAATTAAATTAATTAACGACATTAAAAGTTGGGTAAAATCACGATATAGCGTCGGAAATTATTGGGTAATGTTTGTTGAGTTTCGGTAACATTCGTTACTGTAAGCCATACTTTATTTGAGCGGTGAAAGAAAAATAAAGTCAAGTGCATTAAATTAATGTTTTAACTTAATTTAATATTAAACTGACAAAAATTAGCAACAATTAGTAAATCTAAATATTATTAATAAAGTCGAGTGTAGTAATTAATGTTTTTTTTAAGAAACAGAAAAAACCTGCAGAAGATTTGCGACAACCAGCTCTAGTTCTGTTAGTAAATAAGACGATTAGGCTAGATTAACTAAAGTTAAAAGTAGTAAGAATAACTAGAATAATGTTTAGTAGCAGCAATAATTAGCACATACACTTAAAATAATTAGAAATACAAAATAATTAGCAAGACAGTATTTAAAATGCAACTAAAAATCAATCCTTGCACATTTTTAAACATTATGTACTAAAAATAATATGGCGGCAAATAAATGATGGTTTACAGTATTTCCGGTGGTTTCCGGAACGGCTCGACAGACTACGCCATGGTTTTACTGTTTTTTACTGCTGAACAGTTCCGGAATAATAACCGACGCTATATCGTGATTTTACCAAAAGTTGACCCAGTGATGACTCAAGGGACGCAACTATAATAATCATAACAAAGGGACGTAACAACCACTGAAAAGACATAATGTAACATTTGCTTAGATATGCTTGTATGTAGAGACACAAACTAGATTTAGAAGAAGTAGATGATCGAAATAATTTAAAACAGCAGAAAAAAATAGAAATTATACAGATTCTAGGCTTAGCTTGAAATGTAGAGCATCTAGAACTAGGCTAGTCTAGCTCAAGTCGTTGGTTACGCAGCGCGGTGAAACCACCCAAATCGACACCCAAGCTGCGGCCACCCCTATTCACCTATCAGGTTGCTTTATTAGCCTTATCTATCGTATGTACAGTGTCCCGCACATATTGTAGAAGCTATTTATAGTTAACCTAGTTATAAAAAGCTTTGTTTTGGTTGGTTTATTCATCTCATCCGGGACCTAGTGTTTTTCATACGGGGAACTATAATCGCCTACGACGTCATACCTCGAAACTTTAAAATTTAAAAACTCGACTTCCAGAAGGAGAAAAACAAAAGAATTTGACCTGGATATATTTAGAAATGGACAGGTTTACAGCAGATATCGGTAGTTTCGTATAAAACATCAAAACAAATATTGTACGAAGCGATAAACAGGCGATGGCCGCACCGGTGTTTTAACCGCGCGTGGAACTTTACTCTAGGAGTAAACAAGCTGCAAGAGCGCCTTACAGTCCCCTCTCTTCCTCTCTATCGCTACCACCCCCACCCCCTCACATGGTCTGGTGAGCTGTGGTTCACGCTGTTTACATTTTACAATCATAGAGACGGGTTTGGTGACGGCTATTAGGGGCAGATAATTTAGTTTGAAACGATTTTAAACTTAGAGGAGGTAACTCAGAGGAGGCTGCTTTCACGTGGGGGGGGGGGGGGGAGGGGGGTTTTTTTAAGCAAATATTTTCAGTGGCAGCATTGGTACTGTCGAATTCACAAATTATAAATTACTGAAAAGTAGAAAAAAACAACTAAATGGCGGCGTATGATACGCAGCGGATCGGCTCGTAGTTTATAAAATTTGACCGTTGAAATAAAAATAGAGTCAAGTGCATTAAATTAATGTTTTAACTTAATTTAATGTTTAATTGACAAAAATATAGCAAGAATTAGGCCTAGTAAATTAAAATATTATTAATAAAGTCGAGTGTAGTAATTAATGTTTTTTTTAAGAAACACAGAAAACAAGTTAATAAAAAGTCTAGTGACAATTTAAGCGCAATTTCCTTATGTTATCCATAACAATTTTAAATCGAGATAAATCATATATTCAGCAAATAAATAATGCAACACAAGTAGTTTTAATAATTCAAAACAAAATAGAAAAAATATTTATTAACGAGATTTTAAAAAATTTGCGGACGTGTAGGGGGTATTTAGTTGTCGCACTCTCTATATTGCTATATAGTACTGTAGTGTATTTTGTATAATGTAATTTTTAAAAAATTTTTGTGACCGAACGAAAGGATATTTTTGAAAACTTTCTTCAGCAATATTGTTCTAAATTATGGCAGGAATCGATTGGTAAATGTTTCAAGTCGCTAAGTGGTCTGGTTGCCGAGATATGGGCCAAAAACTGCATTTTTAAAATGTTTTTTTTGGCTTTTCCTGGAAATCCAGGAAGGAATTCCGGGAATTTTTTTGGCCCACAATCATCCTCGGAACTTGCTTAACATATTTGCTTTGGAACTAGTCCTCGATATTGCTTCGTTGAGGAGGAGATACGACTTAGATACGACTTAAAGCTGCGGACACACATCCAGAAATAACAGAAATTTCGAGGTTTTTTGGCTTTTCCGGGAAATCCAGGAAGGAATTCGGGGAATTTTTTTGGCCCACAATCATCTTCGGAACCTGCTTAACATATTTGCTTTTGGAACTAGTCCTCGATATTGCTTCGTTGAGGAGGAGATACGACTTAAAGCTGCGGACACACATCCAGAAATGACGAGTTGATAATCGCAATTGTCCAGTATGGAAATTGCGCTAAAAACCTAGCTCTAGTTCTGTTAGTAAAATAAGACGATTAGATTTACTAAAGTTAAAGTAGTAAGAAGAACTAGAACAATGTTTAGTAGCAGCAATAATTAGCACATACACTTAAAATAATTAGAAATACAAAATAATTAGCAAAACAGTATTTAAAATGCAACTAAAATCAATCCTTGCACATTTTTAAACATTGTATACTAAAAATAATATGGCGACAAATAAATGATGGTTTAGGCCTACAGTATTTCCGGTGGTTTCCTGAACCGCTCGACAGACTATGCCATGGTTTTACTGGTTTTTTTACTGCTTTACAGTCCCGGAATAATAATCGACGCTATATCGTGATTTTACCAAATCTAGAACTACTAGTACTAGATTTAATAATAAACTGAGTCTAATTATAAAAAAGTGCTAAGCTAAATAAATTAAGTAGGCCCTAACTATTGTACTAATTAAGCTAAATAATATAATAGACTGCATTCTAGATCTGGAATCTAGATCTAGTTATTTTTAGTAGTTAGGCTAGCAAAGAGTTCTAGCCAACTTCTAGTTCTAGTCTATAAGTTACATCTAAGTATAAAATATTTTTAAAAAGTCTATTTTAATAGCCTATTTAAAACTACTAGGCCTATTTAAGTATTTTTTGTTGTCTCATTAAGACAAAACATCATGCTCAACATACATAGGCCTAAACAAAACAGTGAACATGTAGATGACAAGAACCAGGTAGCCTAATTCAATTGTCAGCTATGTACATGCGCCCCTTTTTAACACGTTTTTATTAACTCAGCTTCGCGTGTGTTTGTTGTTAAAATTGACATCGAAAATTAGCCCACTTCTGATTGCTCTATAGATCTGAAATTTGGCATGCAGGCTACTTTCGCCTAACAATTTCAGATGCAATCATAAAAACTAGCAATTAGAGACCGTAATTAGCTTAATTTAATTACACCCTAAGGACCATAAAATTGAGGACATGATTTCTAAAGATACCGACAAGACTGGAGGCCTATTGACACAGTTACTTCGGCCCCAATCGATGTGAGCGCGCTGGCCGTGATCGTATAGTGGTTAGTACTTCGCGTTGTGGCCGCGACAACCCAGGTTCGAATCCTGGTTGCTCAAGATATTTGGTCCGTGTATTTATAAACACTTAGTCAAGTCATACTTAATCAAGTCATTAGATAAAGTAGAAAATAAACTATATAAAAAAATTTTTAAAAACCACGTTTTTCATGTGTAGCAACGGACTAAAAAGGAGAAAATAAAATACTTAAAAAAAACTTTTTAAAAAACCACGTTTTTCTTGTGGACTAAAAAGTAGAAAATAACTATTTACATACATTTGATGACAAAAAACGTGGGTCAGGCAGATGGGTCGGGAAATTTGATGGTGAACGTACCCACGTTTTTTGTCATCAAATGTATGTAAATAGTTATTTTCTACTTTTTAGTCCACAAGAAAAACGTGGTTTTTTTAAAAGTTTTTTTTAAGTATTTTATTCTGGCTAGAATCAGGCTTATTATTTCTTTATCCCTAAAATAACTTGGTTAGGTGGGAGAACGTATAATTGCTTACTTCCCAACACCTAGACCTAAGCATATGTTTACTGTTAGGCCTAGTTATTATAATATTAGGCCTACTCTTATTTAACTTATTAAAATTAAATATGATATTTTTTTCTCAAATAGGAAGCAATAGGCCTATAGGGATATTTTTTATTATACCTACATCTATTAAAGTGGTGCTTTTTAGTTTTTGTATTATTATTTCGATTAATGTAAGACTAATTATTAGTAGTTTGCTACCAAGTGACTTGACATAATTTAAACTCCTACAAACTTAACTTTTCAGGTGTATCTTTAACATTAGAGGCAGCCCCTCAGGAGATACTTGTTTCAGCACTAGAAGGAGGTTTAAGAAAACTCTGTATTCTGTGTTACCATGGACAGAGAAAAACTTTGTTCAAGTTGTGGCTCAATCCCAAGGTCAGTAGAGATGAGGGTTTTTTTAAGCACTTTTTTTTTCTGCGGGTTGTAGTTATGGTTATAAATGGTGTCTGAATTTCTACACTGTTAAAGTATTAATGCCAAATAATTGGGACTAGGACTCCAGTCAATTACCCCCTCTCTTGATTGCCAATGTCATACATGGGAATGCTGAGTACGAAATAACTGTAATTTATTTCCTAACCCTAATTTAAACCTACCCTGATCCATTACTGTAGCCCTCGAGTAGTCTTGTCCTAAGCTTATTACAGATAGGTTTATTGTGAAGTGTCAGTTTGTAGTTGACAAGGGGGTCATGGCCTACTCCTTTTGTGTTTTTTTGTTTTTTGGGTCTGGGAGGGTTAATTTTCTGCTTCCCCAGATCAGTTGTTGAGCTGAACTTTTTCATTCTGATTTTTAATTTTTTATTATCTAGTGTTTGTTTCAACAGATATGTTGTAGGTCCAAGGCTTACATAAATGAAAATTGATTTTTCAGATAACAATCAACTTACCTGACCCTGAGCAGGAAATTGAGGTGTTCTATGGCCAGAATGTGAGTGAAATTGTCGATAGGTCAAGGGCAGTTGGTTTTCTCAAATGGACTGGCTTTAGTCTGATAGTTGACCAGTATTCATTTGACCCATTCAACTCTTCGTGTATAGGCATCTCCTCAGTGAAAAACTACACTGTAAATTTCACTATAAACAGTAAGAATTGTTGTCTACCTTATTATATTATACTATTACATCAGAAAATGTACATTATAGTCCAAAAGAGCTATATATTTCAATGGTTTGAGTTGCTGTAAAACTTTTATTTTTTGTTTTACAGATCCAGAAATTAGGTTTTTAGTATACCTAATAGTTGGTCTTCTTTTATTCTTCTTTGCCTCATCTTGGAGTCAGTAAGTCATGTTTAATTTAAACTTTAACCTTAATGCTAATTTAGATACTTATGTTGTAGTTTATGGGTGGGTGATGAGTTTCATACCATTTGTTTCAATTTTCAACATTACATATGCTTAGGTAAATGAAAGCAATATTATTTGATAAAAGAGATATAACAAGCTTGATATGCCTAAAATTGTTTTGAATATTTTCAGGCATGCCCTATTATACTACAGCACAGGAGTCACAATAGGAATTTTGGGTTCAGTCATCATTGCTGTGTTCATTTTAAGCAGATTTCTACCCCAGGTAAACTTTACTTAAACTTCTACCTTATGTAAACTTAAACATGGTCTGATTTTAAATTTGGCTTTGTTTCTTTTTTGGGATGTAAAATAACATATTTACTATTTAAGACATTATTATTTCAATATTTGTATACATACATTATTTTGGTTAGGCATATATAAGAGAAAATAATGTTACACCCACCCTATAACACAGCATAGCTAATACCTTCTTAATCTGTGAGTTGAGCTACAACTAGTTTTTCCACCTTCCTAGCAAGTCTTACCTAACCATTTCAATAAAATAATGTCCTCAGACATTTGGCCTTTTCTGTGTGTATTTTATGGTTGACATTGATTTCAGAAACTTAAAACACTGGGCTATACTATAGCTTTGATCAGTACATCCACATCCTTGTACCTCTGGCGATTAGTCTCTGTGTATCTGAATGACATCTTGCTTAATCATTGGCAGGTAGGCTACTCCACCAACATGTTTATTTTATTTTTAAAGTGTAAATTATGGTCTAGAATTTAGTTTCTGTTTGTAACTGACAATGCAATGTTTATCTTTACAGTACGTCATTGGTTATGTGTTAGTAGCTGGGGTACTCAGCTTTGCTTTTGTGTATCGTTATGGGCCTGCGACCAACTCAAGAACAATGGACCTGGTGCGCTGGTCACTTCAGGCTCTTGGGCTGGTCTTGGTGTACCAAAGCTCGCAGATAGCGGAGATGTCCATTGCCTTGATTGCTGTGTCTCTGTGTGTTTATTTCTTGCCCATGGGATTTGCATCTAGGCTGAATAAGCTAAGGTTTGTTTTTGAAAAATAATTTTAATAAGCCATTACTTACATTAATTGTTTTAAACTGTTTTTATTATTTCTTAAAATTAGGCAAATCTTAAAATTAGGCTAATTTCTTAAAATTAGGCAAATCGAAATGGTTTTAAAAAACTAAGCTTAATTATTCTAATCTATTTTAATGTCATTCTGTCAAGTAATGTAAATCTTTGTATAACGGAGATCTCAATTTGCTTATACTTGTAGATTTAGGTACTTCCCACCAAAGGTTCGGCTCCTAACAGAAGAAGAATACTATCTAGAAGCTGAAGTTGAAACAAAAAAAGCCTTAGACCAGTTGAAGGAATACTGCAGGAGTCCTAACTGTGATGCCTGGAAAACTATGAGCAGACTTACCTCACCAAATAAGTGAGATTTGGTTTTAACCACTACTTGAATCATAATCATCAAAACATCTAGACCTACATGGGCTGTGAAATCTTAGTGACTGAATGCTATTTTACATTGTCAGAGATTATTATTGATTGACTTTCAATAGTTCACATTGTTGATCTATCACATTTATTGTTTTTGCACCCTCCCTATTTCCCCTCAACTAATTAATTTTAAATATTTTGTATGTTCATCTTGTATCAACAAAAGTCTTGTAGCCAGATAAAAATTATGTACGTACTCACCCACAGGTTTGCTAGCTTCATTGATGGAGGCTCACATGTGACAGACGAAGAGTACAGAGAGCATGACTACACGGCAGAGGTCAATCCCCTCAGGATGGAGGATGACAGTAGCGACGATGACACTAGGTATAGATAACACCAGCAAAGATGAAATTAGATATAGATGACAGCACCGATGATGACACTAGGTATAGATGACACCAGCAATGATGACATTAGGTATAGATGACACCAATGACCATGACATTAGGTATAGATGACACCAGCAATGATGACAGTTATAGATGACAGCAGTGATGATGACATTAGGTATAGATGACAGCAGCAAAGACAACACTAGGTATAGATGACAGCACAGATGACTTTAGGTGTAAATGACAGCAGCATAGATGACATTAGGTATAAATGACAGCAGCGAATATGACATCAGGTATAGATGATATAATTAGTTATAGCTGCTTACATGTTTTGAGACAATGTTATGGTTTGTTTCTGAGCATATCCCCTTCACCACATACGAGTGTTATCTAATTTAAAACCATAAGTTTTCTCTTAGTTACAGTTATATTACACAGTATATAACAATCAGTTAAACTACTCACACCTCTGGTCATAAATCAAATTTTTATTACTTTAAAGATGTTGTACTCCTATTTTTGTACATACTTTGATGCATTTTTAAGCTCTTAAAAAGAATTTGTATATATTTGTTTTGTTAATCAGGTTGTTAAATCAACTTTATTTGTTTGCCACACTCCATTATTTATATTAAAAAATTCTGTTTACTACATTTTATTAGGATATTTGATTTCCAGTATGGTTGTAGTGAATGCTTGTATGGAGGGGTGTTACAGTATAAATGTAGTGATTGTGTTTGTATTGAGGGGATTTCCTGTCAGTAATGAATGTGGTAATATAAAGTTCCTGTTTAGTCAAGTGTTTATGTGCTTGTATGTAGGCAATTATGACTGCTTGAGTGAGCTTGTATTAAGATGGCCTAATATTGTGCTGAGTATGTGTAAATACACCTTCTATGATTACAGTTACAAAATTGATCTCTTGTGAACTTAATTCCTTTTATTGCAGTTACTAATAAACATTTGTATTTTATGCAACACAGCATTTTGTATAAATAAAAGTTTTGTATTTTTAAGTAGTGTGACTTAAATCTTGCAATTTATCAGGTCTTACCATGAAAATTGGTGAACTTATGTACAGAAATATAATAATTGAAAAAGCACTGGCAAAAAATTAATGCGACCCAAAAAAATGTTTTTGCAAATATTTTTATTTCAACTAATAATTGTCAAGACAATTCACCAATCAAAGTACCACGAGAAACTAGTAAATGTTTACCACATGAAGATCACAAATAATTCACCAACATAAAAATAATTACATGAAACATTGCAACGATGTGTGATAAAGCAAATTATAATATCATTTACTAAACAGTCAAAGTAATGTATGTATCACACATTCCAATTATCTACAAATTCATATGTTACCTATACACTCACTCCATTAAATAACTATTATACACACCCCACAGAGCAATACCTGCTGTGGACAATATTTCATCTTATTCAATGTTTTGTTTTAGAAAACCTATTTAATACGGAAGACTAGTGTTCTGTAACAATGTATCTACTTGTGAATTTATCAAAATTTTTCAAAAATGATATATAAATACTGTTCTTTTGCAGACCTAATTAGACTTAGAAAATTCTGCAACCAACTCAGAAATATTTAAACAATTTCCAAAATTAATTAGTCCTCTTAGTTTACAGCTCATAGGGTCCTCAGCAATTAAAATTACATTTAAAATACACCCTGCCAATACTAGATTGCTAAAAACAACTTATTGCACCGGCTTCCAATAATTGTTTTATTAATTTTGTAGATAATTTCAGATCCACAAACAGGACATAATAACTTAAACATCTGTACTAATAGTCAATTCATTCAATAATGTATATTACACATCTAGCACAGCTTCAACTTTTGATTTCATCTTGGCTTTAAGTTTATTATTTGTAAACAGAAGTCCAACACAAAGTTTTAGCACATCTTTAAAAGAAAAAGCATGTCAAAGATACAACTGCTTATAAATCAGCTTTAAAATGGAATATTAATAATCAACATTCTTTGGTAAAGTGCCACAGGTTAAGTCTCAGGTTTAGCACAACATTATTCCATTGATGATTTATTATTCAAATTCAGAAGAAACAATAAAAATCGCATTTAACTCATTTCATTTAATGTTTTTCTAAAATAGTTTCAACACTTTTTAGAACGAGCAATATTGGCATAGTTTTTTTAGAGCAAAATTTTATGCTTTATATAAAAATATCTTATGTAAGATTTGGTCTTTAAAAAGATCCTTATCTTTGAAACATCGTTTTGAAGATCAAGTTAGAAGATGAAGAAGCAGGCTAGGAATGTACAGATCAAACTGACAGCACAACCAGATGAACTCTACTTCATCTGATCCAGCTTTCATTCCTACGTAATGCCATATGGACACTAAACTACAAATCTTCCACTTAATCAGCTAAGCTGTTACGGTGTAAAAAAAAATGTTGAACACTCTGGAGTGTCTGTGGCCAGGTAAGCGGACAAAGTTGGCCAGGTAAGAGAACAAAGTTGGCCAGGTAAGCAGACAAAGTTGGCCAGGTGATAAGTCCATGTTTGCCAGTTGGTGCAGAGACCATAGCTGTCCTTACAGACTAGTGTTAACATTCACATTCTACTAAGTCTTTATTACATGAGTAGTTCTATAAATATGAAACATAAAACTTATATTTTAACAGTAACTGATGTCTCTAAACCCTGCGGTATATTCGGCTGCTCACCAATGCAGCATCTAAAAACTGGAATTAAAATAGTCCTTTTATACAACTCAAACTAGCCGACATTTCGCTGAGGAGCTGAACATCCTTTGATTGGTCATCCAGGGTGATGACCAGTCGTTGACCGGGATATCAGTGTTGTAGACCCTAGACGCTGTTTTGTTATACACAGGGAGCATTTCATTGGCTTCATTTGACAGCACCTAAAACAAAAAACCCAAATTTGTTATTGGTTACATGAACAGATAAGTTCACCTGATGCTGTATTTAAACAGATAAGTTCACCTGTAAACCTACAGCTATTTAAACAGGTAAGTTCACCTGATACTGTAAACCTTTGACTATTTAAGCAGATAAGTTCACTTGATACTGTAAACCTTCGACTATTTAAGCAGATAAGTTCACCTGATACTGTAAACTATCAAACTGTACTGTTACCTTCAAGTAGATAATGGCATCTGTTCCGTAACCTTCATACGAGGTCAGCACAATGTCGCCCTGAAAGTATCTGGCATAGAGTCTGGACAAGGGCAAGCCGTAGCCGTACCCTGCAAGCGGAGCGCTGCCCATATCTGACCTAGCTGGCTGAGGTGCAGTGCTGTACATGTACTGGAACAGTAGGTCAATCTTGGAGCGGGGAATACCCCCACCTTCATCAGATATCTGAAACAGGAAATTTTAGTTAGAACATCTTAATTGATTGTAAGACTGACTCAAGGTTTTTTAGAGGATTCTGTGGAGGGTTACTAATGAGAATAAAAATACCTCCATTAGCAGTATAAAATTGTACAAACTGCTTCACTCCCAAACATGTCTACCAAAGACCTGCTTATAGCTTATGGGACAGTACCTTAATGGACAGACCCTCTTGACAATCATGACTTTAAGGGGCGGGATAGTAGTGGGACAGTACCTTAATGGACAGATCCTCTTGACAATCATGACTTTAAGGGGCGGGATAGTAGTGGAACAGTACCTTAATGGACAGATCCTCTTGACAATCATGACTTTAAGGGGCGGGATAGTAGTGGGACAGTACCTTAATGGACAGACCCTCTTGACAATCATGACTTTAAGGGGCGGGATAGTAGTGGGACAGTACCTTAATGGACAGACCCTCTTGACAATCATGACTTTAAGGGGCGGGATAGTAGTGGGACAGTACCTTAATGGACAGACCCTCTTGACAATCATGACTTTAAGGGGCGGGATAGTAGTGGGACAGTACCTTAATGGACAGATCCTCTTGTCCCTTGACAATCATGACTTTAAGGGGCGGGATAGTAGTGGGACAGTACCTTAATGGACAGATCCTCTTGTCCCTTGACAATCATGACTTTAAGGGGCGGGATAGTAGTGGGACAGTACCTTAATGGACAGATCCTCTTGTCCCTTGACAATCATGACTTTAAGTGGAGGGATGGTACTCTCCTGCAAGTGGTACTCTGTTGCTGCTCTCATGGCATTCTGAAATGTCAAGTTATAGCCAACTGAAATGTCAAGTTATAGTCAACTGTTTACCATTGTCTATATAGTATATTCTTGACAGGCAAGAGAAATTAATTAATATATTAATCATGATTATTAAGCTGGAAATTTTAACTCTGGAAATGACTGCAAGGGAAAGATAAATTTATCAGGTAACTGAGTTATTTCAGGAATGATAAACATAAATAATTCTCTGTGTCTAATTAAATGTCACAGGGATTTGAGCATTAGCTTGGAGAGAAAAAAGTAATGAATTAATAAATAGGTTGAGCTTGATCCTGCTTTTAAAAAGATATTTCATTACTGGCACAAGAAAAAAAAAATTATGTTAAAATTACATTAGTAAGCAGGATCAGAGTTAATAATTTTTAACATAGCAATTTATTGTTCTTTTTGGAATAATAATAATTTCTAATATATTTTGTTACTTTTTAGAGATTAATATCAATATTTTTACTAAAAACAAAATTAGAAAAATATCTACAACAAATATTTTTAACTCTTTTAAAAACGTGTTTGACTAAATAGCTCTAGGCCTATTTGTGTCAGCGTTAAAGATCACAAATGATTTTTTATGACATGTATGCATTTAATGCTATATTCGCCTAACCAGCTGAGTTGCACAAAATATGTCAACAGCCAAAGTTTAAACAGTTACATGTATGAATGAACAGTTCAACAGCCAAAGTTTAAACAGTTACATGTATGAATGAACAGTTCAACAGCCAATGTTTAAACAGTAACATGTATGAATGAACAGTTCAACAGCCAATGTTTACCTTAAACAGTTCAAAGAGCATGTGGTACAAATGAGATGGCACATACACTATTTGAATGGGATCATTTTCACTTTCAGTCACTGGATAGAAAAGATGGACTCATCATAAATATCTTATCTAGCAGTTTTTGTTTTAATGCTTCTAATTTTAAAACTAGTAATCAAAATATTAAATTTAATTGTTTTAGTTTAATTACCTATAGATTAGGCTAATTAGAGGGGGGAAAGTTGCATAAAGATTTAAAGGATATAGATTAAGATTTAAAGGATATAGATTCAAATTTAAAATATAGAAATACAATATGGTTGTTATTCCTAATTTAATAGAATAAATAAACATAAAAAAAGCTAAATTATTAGTGCTCTTATAATATTAACCACTTATACTTTTAAGTCTTTAATGCTGTTAATAATATCATCAACAAATATGTTGACCAATCCCCATAATTACAGTAAAACTGTTCCATAGACATAATAGTAATAGTATTATGTCTACAGAACAATTATACTCACACTAAACCTGAGTGTTTAAGAAATACCTATATCAGCTCAACATATATTCAACCCAAGCCAAATTATATTCAATAAATTTTTACTATAAACTTTGTGACTACCTATATAAAAATGTACTTCTCTTTATGGAAAGCTTTTTTGGCTTTTTTTTTGTATTTATACATATGGCAAAATTAAGAAAGAAATACGTTGTGTATAAATATTGTAAAGCTAGTACATAAAGAATGAGGTAAGCATAAATAATAAATTTAAAAACTACAAGATAAATACCTCACCTGCATTGTTTTTTGATGTGATTACCAGTTCTGGAGCAGCTAAATAGTATTGCTCACACAGAAATCTGGCATTTTCATAAGCATCTGACATGGGGAGAAACAATATTAGTTAGAAACAGAATTATTTTTGCCCTTCAAAGATTTATATGACTCTACTAGTTTCAAACGTCAGGAACTTCATTCTTTACAGAAAGTAAGACAATTTTTATAACACTAGAACTTTATGTGAGCAAAACACACTGACCTTGAACTACAGTTGACACGTTACAATTTGGGTCAATGCAGCCTATATGTCTGGGGTCATTATTTTTTTCTTTCTTTCCAAAAAGCAACGCTGTAAGTAAACATTTGTTATTAGGTTATCTTCAATGGGTGTGTTGGTGGGTTACTGCTGACAGTGTAATTTGTTATTAGGTTATCATGAGGGTGTGTTTGTGGGTTACTGCTGACAGTATGATTTGTTATTAGGTTATCATGAGGGTGTGTTTGTGGGTTACTGCTGACAGTATGATTTGTTATTAGGTTATCTTCAGTGTGAGTTGGTGGGTTACTGCTGACAGTATGATTTGTTATTAGGTTATCATGAGGGTGTGTTTGTGGGTTACTGCTGACAGTATGATTTGTTATTAGGTTATCATGAGGGTGTGTTTGTGGGTTACTGCTGACAGTATGATTTGTTATTAGGTTATCTTGAGTGTGTGTGTTGGTGGGTTACTGCTGACAGTGTCATTTTTAATTAGGTTATCATGAGGGTGTGTTTGTGGGTTACTGCTGACAGTATGATTTGTTATTAGGTTATCTTCAGTGTGAGTTGGTGGGTTACTGCTGACAGTATGATTTGTTATTAGGTTATCATGAGGGTGTGTTTGTGGGTTACTGCTGACAGTATGATTTGTTATTAGGTTATCATGAGGGTGTGTTTGTGGGTTACTGCTGACAGTATGATTTGTTATTAGGTTATCTTCAGTGTGAGTTGGTGGGTTACTGCTGACAGTATGATTTGTTATTAGGTTATCTTGAGTGTGTGTGTTGGTGGGTTACTGCTGACAGAATGGTTTGATATAACTCAGTATTCAACATCTTGACAAAGTGGCATTGATTGGATTGGGTAGATCTATCCCATGAGGCCTGTCTGCCATACAAATAGTGGCGTGGGTGGACAGTATCCTGCTTCGGTGGGGGAGGGTGTGTGGACCCAGTATCCCTGTTTCTGTGGGGTGGACCTAGTATCCCTGTTTCTGTGGAGTGGGGTGGACCTAGTATCCCTGTTTCTGTGGAGTGGGGTGGGCCCAGTATCCCTGCATCTGTGGGGTGGAGTGGACCCAGTACCCCTGCTTCTGTGGGGTGGGAGGATGGATGCAGTATTCCTGCTTCTGTGGGGGATGGGTGGATGCAGTGTCCCTGCTTCTGTGGGGGAGGGTGGACCTAGTATAGATGCAGTTTTCCTGCTTCTAACTAGAGTGTACTCACTGTGCTGGTTGATGAGCATTCTGATGCTGATTCTGGACATGTAGAAGCGGTCTAAGAAGTACTGGATCCTGTTCTCAGTGTTTATATCAATGCCATGCAATTCCTTTAGCTCCATTACACCCTAGACGTGGTACAACATACAACTTTTTAAATGGGACGACAATGTAATTATACAACATACAACTTTTTAAATGGGACAGCAATGAAATTATACAACATTTACTTTTTAAATGGGACAGCAATGAAATTATACAAAATTTACTTTTTAAATGGGACAGCAATGAAATTATAAAAAATACAACTTTTTAAATGAGACAGCAATGAAATTATACAACATACAACTTTTTAAATAGGACAGAAACGTAATTATACAACATACATCTTGTTTTAAATAGGAGAAAAATGTCTCCCAACTATTGTCTTAGAAAGTCATCATCTAGGCTAAATATAAATCATATCAACTCAAACTTCTTGGCTAAAATCTGGTCTCCAAGTTTCTGAACCTTAATGTTAAGTACTAAATCAAAGCTTTACAGTTATACAAGGTATGTCCTCATTGGAACTAGTGTGTTAGTCCTCACGAGCCGGCCCGCGGCATATCATACGCCGCTATTTAGTTGTTGTTTTTTCTACTTTTCAGTAATTCATAATTTGTGAATTCGACAGTACCAACGCTGCCACTGAAAATATTTCTTTAAAACACTATCTTCTTCTTCTTCTTCGTTCTTAATTATTAGTGTTGAAGGGGATCGAGATTTATCTGCCAGTTGGTTTGAACTCGAGACTTTGTTCAAATTTATCAACCATGAGCTTTTTGCAGACTCGACCACGCCTCCAACACAATTAAGCGTTAGGTGTCAACTGGTTATGCGCACTTTAAGTAGCTCGTTAAGGACGATACCCCCCCCCTTTAAAGTAAACTCAACTTAGTTACCCCCTCCCCCTACGTTTAAAATCATTTCAAACTAAATTATCTGCCCCTAATAGTCGTCACTAAACCCGGCTCTGCTTGTAAACATTTAGCGTGAACCACAGCTCACCAGACCATGTAGGGGTGGGGGTGGTAGGGAGCGCGCTTACAGCTTGTTTTCTAGCATCTCCCAGAAGAGAATTATATATATAGATTGGAACTAGTGTGTTAGTCCTCATTGGAACTAGTGTGTTAGTCCTCATTGAAATGTATTTGAGTTAGTCCTCATTGGAACTAGTGTGTTAGTCCTCATTGGAACTAGTGTGTTAGTCCTCATTGAAACGTATTTGAGTTAATCCCCAATTGAACTAGTGTGTTAGTCCTCATTGAAATGTATTTGAGTTAGTCCTCATTGGAACTAGCGTTCTTAAAAAGCAAGAGCTGATGTAGGAAGAGAAGCAGCTGATGTAGGAAGAGAAGAGCTGATGTAGGAAGAGAAGCAGCCACCTACCTGTGCCATAGTCTCCACCACATTGCTGTGTCTGTTTCTTATGTGGACTAGGGTAGAGGTGAAACTGTAAACATTCAAACAAATCCATGCCTTTAATTTCAAACAGTTTTACAGTAAAACTTTTATAAACTGATTTGCCATGTTTTGCAGCAGATGGAAGCCATACAATTAGAGAAATATGGGAGATAACAAAAAGAAAAATCTGGGTAAACAAGAAGTTGTTGACTTGGAAGGAAGCCATATTAACTACCACATTTTAAATTGTAATCAACACAGCACCTTTATAACTAGTGAACAAAATTATGGTACATTTTAGAACTGTTGAAATTTCAACTTGAAGGCTAAATTAATACCATTTCTCCATCATCTGTATTTACTTATTTGTAAGATCAAAAACAAGTTTTACATTAAGTGTTTATGTGGTGGCCTATTGGTATAGAAATTATAGCCAGACTTTCTACATAGGCTTTCAAAAGTTTTACATTAGAAATTATAGCCAGACTTTTTACATGTGCCAAAAATTTTACATTAGAAATTATAGCCAGACTTTCTACATAGGCTGTCAAAAGTTTTACATTAGAAATTATAGCCAGACTTTTTACATGTGCCAAAAATTTTACATTAGAAATTATAGCCAGACTTTCTACATAGGCTGTCAAAAGTTTTACATTAGAAATTATAGCCAGACTTTTTACATGTGCCAAAAATTTTAAATTAGAAATTATAGCCATACTTTCTACATAGGCTGTCAAAATTTTTATATTTGAAATTCTAGCCGGACTTTTTACATGTGCCAAAAATTTTACATTAGAAATTATAGCCATACTTTCTACATAGGCTGTCAAAATTTTTGCATTAGAAATTATAACCAGGCTTTACATTAACATGTTTTCTGATAACGACTATTAAATTAACACCACCATGATGATAGCCAATCATAAATATTAATATTTCTTTACAATATTATTGCTATGATTTTTTAAGCCACTGGTGATAAATATCAGTATTTCCATCAATTTGAATTCAGCTAATTAAAACTTGAAGCAGGTGTTTTACTGCTAACTTGCATACATTAGAACAAAAATTCCATGCCTGCCTACACAACAAAAAATTCCAAACCTACCTACACTAAAACAAATTCCAAGCCTACCTACACTAAAACAAATTCAAAGACTGCATACATCAAAACATATTCCAAGTCTGCCTACATAGAACAAATTCTAAGTCTCCTACACTACAACAAACTCATAAGTTTTAAGAAATAGGGTGGCTCATTTTGAGGTTATTTAGGCTGAACCAAATACCAAAGGAAAACTATTCTCACATCACTTTCCAAATCCCAGTTTGCATTATTTCTTAATAATTTTCAATTTTTTTGTTTAAAAATATCTCTTGATACAAGTTCCTTCAAAACATTTAGACTACAGTGTCCATTCAAGTGTATCATTTCAAACCTTATGGTCCATGGGGCAGATGAAGTAGAGTTCACCTGGTTTAGTGACCTCAGCATATGAAGGGTAGCACTATGCCCGCCACCTTTACTTTTGCTAACAAGTGTCAGGTACCCATCAGAGCTGAGTCGACTCAGGGAAGTCCTACAGACTCAAGCCCAGGATTCAAACTAGAGACTCTGTAAACAGTCCAGTACTCTACATTTGACCATACAGTCCAGTACTCTACATTTGACCATCAGTCCAGCATCAGTCAAAATGTGTCTAGGTAAACTAAAATGTGTCTAGGTAAACTAAAATGTGTCTAGGTAAACTAAAATGTATGTCCAGATAAACTAAAATGTGTCTAGGAAAACTAAAATGTGTCTAGGTAAACTAAAATGTATGTCCAGGTAAACTAAAATGTGTCTAGGTAAACTAAAATGTATGACTAGGTAAACTAAAATGTATGTCCAGATAAACTAAAATGTGTCTAGGTAAACTAAAATGTATGTCCAGGTAAACTAAAATGTGTCTAGGTAAACTAAAATGTATGTCCAGGTAAACTAAAATGTATGTCTAGGTAAACTCAAATGTACCTTTCCATCACCTTCTGATCTGAGCCCCCCTTGTTCTCAAATTCTATCAGCTCTTTAAAACTCTGCTGGTACCTGCAGGGAAGAAATATCAAACAATACATAAAACAACCACAAAGAGGGGTCAAAGATGAAATAATTGCTAAATTAACAACAAAATTCAATTGTAAAAAATTGACACTGCTAAGTCAAAAACAGGAAGAACATATGTGGGTCAACAAGAAATTGATGCACAGCTGATGTGGTTCAAGTGAACTGATGAAAGCAAAACATTTCTTCATCACATGCGGACTCAAATTATGAGCTTTAATTCCTTTCTCTTCTCTCTCTCCCCCCCCCCCCCCCCCCCCCAGGACACACATGTTGAAAACTTGGTCAGTAATCAAAACCTAAAAGATCCTAAAGATGATCAGAAAACAGACTTTGAACTACCTTGAAATTAAAAAGCAACTAAAAAGAATATAAAATAAATTTAAAAAAAGAACAGTCTTAACTGTCTTATCTAGAGTTTCAAAGTTCACGTAATTTCAACTAATTACTAGATCTAGTTTGGAGATGTGATTGTGGTAATAAGGGCAAACATAAACTTACTAAACAACAGGAAACACACATGAGCAAAGCAAGTAACAACAAAAAGACAACACAAAACAGGTGGTAAAAAAAGAAAATCTAGTGATTATAAAACAATGACTGATCAAATAAAGAGAAACAAGCTGATTGATAATTGAATTTAATAGGAGGGACGAATAACAAGCTGATTCAGACATTCAGCTAGAGAACACCTACTCTATGCCACACAGTTGCCTATGTTGCTAGCTTACACCCCATGTTGCTAGAATCTTCTATATGTTGCTATATTACACCAACTGTACAACTATACAAGTACTATCATCACACGACACTTGTGAAGCAAGAATAAGACCAGGGCCTCATTTAATCAACTCCTTGTTCGTTTACTTTCTGTTGGATAAAACGTGACTATCAGCTGTTCAACATGTTACAGTTATTTCCCTTTGCCCTTGACCTCAAGGTCGACCGACTAAACGACAAACACTGTCCTTATTTTAAACCAGTCGATGCGAGGAAACATTACGTCAGTACAAACTAGATCCCCAATATAGCAATAAACGACTTTAAATAGAAGGGTATGACGTGGGGTATGGGTAAAGTTTGACTTTGGGAAGGTATGGACACCCTCTTGAAATTTTTTAACTAGTACTTGTAACTGTAACCCTCCAGCGATAAGGCTCGATTTACAGACGGGGCTAACCACTTGTACACCCCGGGCTCTGTAAGATTTACAGACGGGGCCAACCACTTGTACACCCCGGGCCAACCACTTGTACACCCCGGGCTCTGTAAGATTTACAGCCGGGGCTAACCACTTGTACACCCCGGGCTAACCACTTGTACACCCCGGGCTAACCACTTGTACACCCCGGGCTAACCACTTGTACACCCCGGGCTAACCACTTGTACACCCCGGGCTAACCACTTGTACACCCCGGGCTCTGTAAGATTTACAGACGGAGCCAACCACTTGTACACCCCGGGCTAACCACTTGTACACCCCGGGCTCTGTAAGATTTACAGACGGAGCTAACCACTTGTACACCCCGGGCTAACCACTTGTACACCCCGGGCTCTGTAAGATTTACAGCCGGGGCTAACCACTTGTACACCCCGGGCTAACCACTTGTACACCCCGGGCTCTGTAAGATTTACAGCCGGGGCTAACCACTTGTACACCCCGGGCTAACCACTTGTACACCCCGGGCTCTGTAAGATTTACAGCCGGGGCTAACCACTTGTACACCCTGGGCTAACCACTTGTACACCCCGGGCTAACCACTTGTACACCCCGGGCTCTGTAAGATTTACAGCCGGGGCTAACCACTTGTACACCCCGGGCTAACCACTTGTACACCCCGGGCTAACCACTTGTACACCCTGGGCTAACCACTTGTACACCCCGGGCTAACCACTTGTACACCCCGGGCTCTGTAAGATTTACAGACGGGGCCAACCACTTGTACACCCCGGGCTCTGTAAGATTTACAGACGAAGCTAACCACTTGTACACCCCGGGCTCTGTGAGATCGGACTGGCACTGACACTAATCTACAGCCCAGCTGGAATCTCCTGTACGTCCGCACGCGAGGGAGACAGACGTTCAAAGACAAACCTTCAATGACAAGTGCATGTCAGCCATTGGGATATCGGGCAACAACCAATCAGTGGCTGCATTTCAGGCAATGCATATCTTCAGTCTACCGATATGTGTCTCTACCATCAGTTCAGGCAATAATACATAGCTTCAGTCTACCGATATGTGTCTATGCCACCATTTCTCATGCCGAGATTTTGGACAACATTAAAACGCTTTAGCTGGACACACTAGCAAACTAACGGAACAGTCTCGTGTGTACTAATATGTAAGCCTACAGCAACTGTAACTTATTACAGCAACCACCACAAATCCTGAATGTTGACCAGTCCACATTCTCACCAATATGTATACCAACATGTACGGCAGTAGTCACCCAGTCATGAAACCTGGATGTTACTCAGTCCACATCTATACCGCCCTCCTCCCTCCCCCCTTACGTGTGTACCAACATGTACAGATGTAGTCACCGACAATAGCAGTCATGAAACCTTAATGTTGATCAGTCCACATTCTCACCAATATGTATACCAACATGTACAGCAGTAGTCAACGACAATAGCAGTCATGAAACCTTAATGTTGATCAGTCCACTTCTATACTGCCCACCCCCTCACTATACGTGTATACCAACATATACAGATGTAGTCACCCACAACAAAAATCATAGATCCTGTATGTTAGCCAGTCCACTTCTACCGTCTCACCCCTGTAATAAGCCGGATACGTGCGTGACGACATGCAACATATTAAGGCAGGGGTCACGAACTGGTAACAGTCAACTGTCGGGTCAAGGTAACCCAAATACTTCCCGCATGATCGCTTGGCTGGTCACACAGTGAAGGAATTAGAAAATTGGCGGGGGCTAGTCTATAACAGGGTGCTAGTCTATAACAGGGTGCTAGACTATAACAGGGTGCTAGACTATAACAGGGTGCTAGACTATAACAGGGTGCTAGACTACAACAGGGTGCTAGACTATAACAGGGTGCTAGACTATAACAGGGTGCTGTGTGAAACATTAGAAAACTGACGGGTGCTAGTCTATAACAGGGTGCTGTGTGAAACAAGATTCGAAAACTGAAGGGTGCTAGACTATAACAGGGTGCCGTGTGAAGAATACAACTTTTTGTTGTGCTAGGCTATGACATGGTGCAGCCCACCTATACCCCAGGCATAAATAAATATAATGTGTTTCAGCCCAAAAAAATTATATAATCAATAGTCAGGGCAAACTTTTTCTTCAGAGACAAAAAGAGAACGACGGTCTTTTCTCCCCAATGTAGAACATTTGTACAGCAGTCAGATCAGTTTAGACACGCGAGCATCAACACACCTTGGAGGAGGGGGGGGGTGAGACGAGTTATATGGCTTACAGGCATGCTATATATTTAGTTTCTAAAAAATGGAGAGGGGAGGTGTGAATTTGAGCCGTCAGTTTAGTGGCGGTCATCTGGGGCAGGAGGGGAAAAGATGATGTCATTTTAAAATTATATCATCACACCTCAGAGGTTCAGGGGTCTGACCACATCAAAGAGGGACCCTACCGGACAGTACCGTATGACCCTACTGGTCAGTGACCCAAGTGGACAGTACCGTGTGACCCTACTGGACAGTACCGTGTGACCCTACTGGACAGTACCGTGTGACCCTACTGGACAGCACCGTGTGACCCTACTGGACAGTACCGTGTGACCCTACTGGACAGTACCGTGTGACCCTACTGGACAGTACCGTGTGACCCTACTGGACAGTACCGTGTGACCCTACTGGACAGCACCGTGTGACCCTACGTGACAGCACCGTGTGACCCTACGTGACAGCACCGTATGACCCTACTGGTCAGTGACCCAAGTGGACAGTACCGTGTGACCCTACTGGACAGCACCGTGTGACCCTACGTGACAGCACCGTGTGACCCTACGTGACAGCACCGTGTGACCCTACGTGACAGCACCGTGTGACCCTAGTGGACAGCACCGTGTGACCCTACTGGTCAGTGACCCTACTGGACAGTACCCTATGACCCTACTGGACAGTACCGTGTGACCCTATTGGACAGCACCGTGTGACCCTAGTGGACAGCACCGTGTGACCCTACTGGTCAGTGACCCTACTGGACAGCACCGTGTGACCCTAGTGGACAGCACCGTGTGACCCTACTGGTCAGTGACCCTACTGGACAGTACCGTGTGACCCTACTGGACAGCACCGTGTGACCCTACGTGACAGCACCGTGTGACCCTAGTGGACAGCACCGTGTGACCCTACTGGACAGCACCGTGTGACCCTACTGGACAGCACCGTGTGACCCTACTGGACAGCACCGTGTGACCCTACTGGACAGCACCGTGTGACCCTACGTGACAGCACCGTATGACCCTACTGGTCAGTGACCCTACTGGACAGTACCGTGTGACCCTACTGGACAGTATCCTATGACCCTACTGGACAGTACCGTGTGACCCTATTGGACAGCACCGTGTGACCCTAGTGGACAGCACCGTGTGACCCTACTGGTCAGTGACCCTACTGGACAGTACCGTGTGACCCTACTGGACAGCACCGTGTGACCCTACGTGACAGCACCGTGTGACCCTAGTGGACAGCACCGTGTGACCCTACTGGACAGCACCGTGTGACCCTACTGGACAGCACCGTGTGACCCTAGTGGACAGCACCGTGTGACCCTACTGGTCAGTGACCCTACTGGACAGTACCCTATGACCCTACTGGACAGTACCGTGTGACCCTATTGGACAGCACCGTGTGACCCTAGTGGACAGCACCGTGTGACCCTACTGGTCAGTGACCCTACTGGACAGTACCGTGTGACCCTACCGGACAGCACCATATGACCCTACTGGACAGCACCGTGTGACCCTATTGGACAGCACCGTATGACCCTACTGGACAGCACCATGTGTCTCTACTGGACAGCACCGTGTGACCCTACTGGACAGCACCGTGTGACCCAGCTGGACCTATTGGTCTGCTCACGGTATCCGTGACTGACAGCACTGAGTGACCCTATGGTCAGGTCATAGCATCAAGTGACCCCTGACATACCAGCACTCACTACAGTGATGGCCAACTGGTCACTTTTGCCCCCATTTCAGGTTAACTGTGAGAGGTCAGATATCAAATCGTGTCACAAAGGTTGTACATTCCAATCCACAGTGTCAAATATTTTCTTCTATCTCTTAAGAGATGTTCCAAACTTGCCTCCTATGTAACAGCATTATTTGACACACATTCTAATACTAATAGACTACCTCAATTTGAATAGACTACCTCAATTGTTCAGATCCTTGTAAATACTCGGACGTTTTTGTCCCTATGAAAACTTTACACTGATGTAATGAGAGGTTACTATTGGATAAAATCCTAATAGATTACAACTGAGAATAATATGACAGACAAATTCGATGTAATCAAGAAGATAAACAGGCAGGCATTTTATTAGTACATCAAGAAAGCAGACATCCAAAGGGTATACAGACAAGAAAGCAGACATCCAAAGGGTGGGTACGGACAAGAAAGCAGACATCCAAAAGGTGTACAGACAAGAAAGCAGACATCCAAAGGGTGTACAGACAAGAAAGCAGACATCCATAGGGTGGGGGTACAGACAAGAAAGCAGACATCCAAAGGGTGTACAGACAAGAAAGCAGACATCCAAAAGGGGTACGGACAAGAAAGCAGACATCCAAAAGGTGTACAGACAAGAAAGCAGACATCCAAAGGGTGTACAGACAAGAAACAGACATCCATAGGGTGGGGGTACAGACAAGAAAGCAGACATCCAAAGGGTGTACAGACAAGAAAGCAGACATCCAAAAGGTGGGGGTACAGACAAGAAAGCAGACATCCAAAAGGTGGGGGTACAGACAAGAAAGCAGACATCCAAAAGGGGTACGGACAAGAAAGCAGACATCCAAAAGGTGGGGGTACAGACAAGAAAGCAGACATCCAAAAGGTGGGGGTACAGACAAGAAAGCAGACATCCAAAGGGTGGGGGTACAGACAAGAAAGCAGATATCCAAAAGGGGTACGGACAAGAAAGCAGACATCCATAGAATGTGTGAACAGACAAAACTGACCAGCTCATGACGAGGGAGACGCTGGGCATCTTGAGGAGGTTGTCGGGCAGCAGGTTGATCTCCTTCATGATGTTGGCCAGACGGACGGGGCAGCTCCTTCTGGAGGAAGGCGTACGACTCGCGGCTGCTGCCATCTTTGGACCCTGTAACCAAGGAAACGATGGTCGTTAGGGGTATGTAACCATGGAAACGATGGTCGTTAGAGGTATGTAACCAAGGAAACGATGGTCGTTAGGGGTATGTAACCAAGGAAACGATGGTCGTTAGAGGTATGTAACCAAGGAAACGATGGTCGTTAAAGGCATACGGTGTCGTATACAACTTATACACCTTTCTTAATGTATTCAAGCATTTGAAAGAAAACGTACAAACATGATAGTGTATATCTCTAAATGCTACGTAGATTTTTCGTTGCGCATGATTTAGCTCAAAACATCGCGTTTAGAATCGCTATCACTCGCCGGTACGGCTACTAGACAGGCGTCAAATGATTAAAGATTAAAGATACTAGATGTAACAAACGTGAAACTACGGCATGCTAGATGTGTACTTTAAAACATGCACTAATAATACGGGTGGGTTCAAAGTCCAA